AAGTCAAATATTGTATAATATGCTTATATGTGGAATCTAAAAAATAATATAAATGAATGATTTGCAAAACAGAAACAGACTCACAGATACAGAAAACAAACTTGTGGTTACCAAAGTGGGGAGAGGGAAGAGGGGAGGGGAAAACTGAGGGTATGGGATTAACAGATACAAATTACTGTATATAAAATAGATAAGCAATGAGGATATACCGTATAGCACGAGAATTATACCCATTATCTTGTAATAACCTAAAGTGGAGTGTAATCTGCAAAAATATTGAATCACTATGCAGTACATCTGAAACTAACACAATATTGTATATCAACTATACTTCAATAAAAATTATTAAAACCTTTCAAACTAGCATTGACTGGGAGAATCTCAGGATAATGTACCTTCTCCAAATAATGCTTTGCTGTTGAAATCAGTAGAGAGAAAGCACCCATACTATTAGAGATGTTGTTAAGCAAATGTGATCCCTCTTTTCTGTGAGATTATTTTGAGGAAAAACATCATTTTCATTTATGTGAATCCAGTATTTTTTTGCCTTGGAGTTAGAAGTCATTGTTTCTACTTTATGCTCATGGAGATAACAGCATCTTTTGATCAGGCTTAAAATTAATTGCCTGTTTGACTCAAATTTTCTTACAGTAGCTAGAATAAATTATCCTACAGTTATTTGCCAGCTTACCCCTAGCAGTGGTTTCATCTACTGTTCTAATTACCTCAGTGAAAGTAAACATATATCATAGGACAATATTTTGAGTGGAAAATGAAGAACAAATTAAAGAAACAGGCTTTATTACAACACCTCATAGAAATACATTCCCATGTTAAAAGAAAAACTGATTGCCTCTTGTCTTAACACTTGGTAAGTAGTTCCCAACCACTCATAAGTCAGGTAAAACTGACCTTTGTTGGCAGGAAATGAGGCAGATTGGTACAGTATTTTCAAACAGTGAATGTATTATAGCTAGTTATTTACTGATTTCCTTGGACTATGATATTTCCAGTTGCTTTTTACTGTTGTAAAGTTTTTTTTTTAATAACAAAATTATCATTATTTTGCTCATTGTTAAATTTCTATAGAATAAATATTTGGGTTTTTTATGACATGATACACAGATTTAAAGTGAAAATGACTTCAGAAATTCTACTCATGAGATACTATTTGTTTGTATTTTTAAATGAAGTCTTATGTATATCAACTGCTTATCAATAATTTGAGTGCTGTTCTCTCTCTCTACTGCATTCTGCTTGAGTTATTTAAGAGTCATCTGATTTTCCTCAGCTACAGGGATACACCTTGATTAACTTTAACTCACAGATAAAGCATATTTCTCAGGTCTTTTTTTTTTTTTTTTGATGTGAAGTCTTTTTATCAAAGTATAGTCAGTTTACAGTGTGTCGATTTCTGATTTACAGCATAATGTTTCAGTCATATATATATGAACATATATTCCTCTTCGTATTCATTTTCATTATAGGTTACTCCAAGATATTGAATATGGCTCCCTGTGCTATACAGAAGAAACTTGTTGTCTGTCTTTCTCAGGTCTTTGTAATTGCCTGTGGAATGGGATGTTTACTGGGAACTTCCAGGAAGGATCTTTTCTTTCTCTTTTGTGAGAGTTATTAAAAGAGCAACCGGAGGATCTTTGAAAGTTACACTATAAGGATGTGACAACTGGCATTGCTGTGCAGTCCTTTCTCTGAGCAGCAACCAGCCTCCACATGAAGCAGGAGGGCTTAGCTGAGAGTGGTAGAGCAGTGGAGTCTGACTGACGCTATGAGCCTCTTAGAGTCCAAAGTTAGCTGAGCGTATGGAATATTCAGTCTTGTGGTCTAATCAGTTTGCCTAAATGTGTTTGATATCACTTTGTGATTAATTTTGAAAGTGCTGATACTTAGTATTTTACTATTTCTAATTCAATTGACTATTTCTAATACAATTTGCGATTTTAATCACATTAACATCTTTATTTGGCAAATATTTGAATCATTAAAGATATATAAATCTATCTTATATTCAGATATGGATGAGTTGTACCATGTTTTAAGCTTTTAAAAAAATTACAGTCTAGAAATTTTAAGCATTTTTAAGCTAAGGAGCTCTGATAGGAAACACTAGAATACAACTTTCTTTTTCTCATGTGAAAAATATTTGAGAGACAGTTCTGAATAAGGCTCATTCGTAAGGTGAATACATAAATAAATATTTATGTACTTCATTTTGTGTTGCCTTTTATATTAAATGTGTACTTATTCAGTTAATTTTTAACAGGAGACTTTTCATTTTTTTGTTCAGACTTACAGTGGCTCTCCATTTTGTTCATCATGAATTCCAAATATTTTTGCCAATGAAAGGCCCCTTAATTTAGCCTACACTTATTTCCCATCCTTGTTCATATTCAGTGAGATTAATGTATTTCCCTGATCCATGCCTTTGCTTGCTCCCCCTGGATTGTTCTTTCCAATCCTTTCTGTCTGTGTAATTAATACCTATTATTTTTGCCCCTGTTCTGATTCCAACCCTTCAATAAAATCTTTGTCAGTATCCACCATGAGTATAAATAATCTTACAAACAACTTTATTTTCTCTTGTAAGAAAAGTCAAACAGTACTTTATAAAGTTGGACAAATGCCCTTCATTTCTAGTCCAGCCCTCCAGAGGATAACTTCCTAATAGTTCAGATTCCTTGATATTTTTCTATTTATATTTGAGAGTATATGACTTATTTGGTTATCACTTCTTTTGACTACCTTATTGGAAAGCACAATTCTAGAGGCTTAATATTTATTTGATTTTTCTTTTGGTAAGAATATTTTAAGAATGGTGGCATGTACTTCATATTGCATCAGAAAACACATACTATCTGGTGGTCTTTCTTGGTACTGTTTAGATGGATCAGTGATTGAAGTATTGTTAGCCTGATCTCCCCATTTTTAAGTTCCCCATTATCCTCTCACTGAATGATTTCATCTACCTCATTATTTTAAATTGTCATAGATAGCTACTTGGCTGTCTGCTAATATAGTAAGATAATAGATTGTTAAAAGGCCAGGCTCTGGAGCTTACCCTGCCTGTGATTTATGACCTTTGGCAAATGATTGCACATCTTTGTGTCTCAGTTTCCTCTACTGTGAGTTAGGTACCTCACAAGATTGTCTCAAGGATTAAATATGTTAAATGTTTGAAACAGTGCGTAGGATGCTGTGTCAGTAAATGCTAGTTGTTATTATTAATATACTGATTTAGAAGTTTTATTTTGCTGTCTATGCACTGGCATTTGTTTGCATGGAAAATGCTTTACTGGATAATACTCAATGCATTCTGTCTGGCAGTGAGACCAGGTCACGCTGTGGGAAAACAAAGTGCCATTTAAGTGATTACAAACCTCATATGTATCTAGCATCTATGATTTTTTAATAAGAAAAACACTAGCCGAAAAGGGGATTTGTTACACTTGAGTTTATAATGAAGAAAAGAAACATTGATCATAATTACATGTATATCCTAGATATTAGGAAAGAAAATTTTAAGAGTGGAGAAGAGTGACCCCATGGCTTTTGACACTGTACAATTCTTTGGGGTGGGAGTTAGTAAAAAATTAGCATGCACAGTCCTAAATAATTTGAGAAAAAAAGTCTCTCAAAATCCAATGCAGTCGTGCAAAGGAACTCTCAGATTAACAGCGTAGATTTACTAGCTGGAAGGAGAGATGCAGAACTGAAGACAATTATAAAACAATAGTATAAACCTTTATAAGCAGTGGCAGGAACCATAAAGCAAGTTTGAAGTTTACAGAAAATGCTTAGGACAACATAAATTGTTTTTAAAGTAATGTCAAATAATATTAAGCTTCAACAAGATTATCAAATTTTTAAGAGAGATGGAACCATCAGTTCATATTTTACCACTGTCAGATTCAGTAGGGAGAAAGAGTCTTTGGGTTAGAAAGGATAATAATTTTAGAAGAATTATAGGCTATGGTAGCAAAGCAGCTAGCAGGTGAAACACTTGACCACTTTAAGTGCATTTAATTTTCTTCATTTAAATTAATGCCTTCTCTAGCTGCCAATGGACTTGCAGATCTACTCATGAAATCACTGGGTAGTCTTTGTGAATGTCATGAAAAATATATTTGTTATCTGGAGATGATCAAACACTAGCTTGATTTTTTTTTTAAGAAAGGGAAAAGTGTGGGTTCTGAAAATTACAAGCCAATAATCTTGTTACTGATCTTTTGCAGATTTCTAGAAATTTCAGCAAAAGCTTGTGAACATTTATGAAAAAATTCTCAAATGTAGAAATTTAAATGTGTCCACCAAGAACATATCATGTCAAATTAACTTCATTTCTTTTAAAAGAGGATTATCAGTTCAGTTGAATGAGAAAAATACTGTAGTAACAATTTGTTATTTTTAGTGAAGTATTTGACAATCTTTGTCCATGTTTTTGGATAAGGCTTGTTGGTGAGTTGTTTAAATTTACAGTAAGTAGGTAGATTTACAGTAGTTAGTTTCAGAGTAAATTGAAATCCAAAGCCAGCAGTTGATTAGAGGTTCAGTGTCACCATTGAGAGAGACCTTTAAAGCATCCAGTGTGATTATCTATATCTTGTGTCAATATTTCCATCATTGATCTGCCTGAAAGTTTAGAATTAGACTTACCTTCTTGTAGATTATTCAGAGCTGCAGTTGGCATAGCTGATACTGTAGAAGGCAGTTCAGAACATCTTCTAAAACCTTACCTAATTAGTGCATTTCTGTCTTCCCCTCTCTTAACATACTTTCATACTTTGCATGTAATATAAATTCATAATTTAGATTGCTTCAGAGAGAAAAAGTGACTTTTTTTGACTACCTGACATTTTTACCAAATTAATGTATGAATTGTATATACTCCTTATAGCATATCATCTTTAATGATACAAATACAGGAAAACAAACTGAAAATTGGAAAAGTCTCTGCATAAATATATTTTTATCTACTTTAGGAATATGAAGCACGAACAGGGAGAGCCTGTAAACCACCACCTCAGTCTTCAAGACGGAAGAATTTTGAATTTGAGCCACTCTCTACTACTGCCCTGATTCTTGAGGATCGACCATCGTAAGTATTTTAGTGATCATCAGGCACACTGTTTATATTTTAAATTTAAATTTAATTTTGCTTACTGTTTCACTTGAAAGAGATCAGGGAATTAGATAAAGAAATAGATTTGTTATTTTTTTTTTCAATTCCAGTGATGAATCCTAAAACTGCAGGGAAGAATTGTTATGCCTAAGCGTTATGCATATTTTTATTGAAATATAGTTGACATACAATATTATGTTAGTTTCAGGTGCACTGTGTAATAATTTGACATTTGCATTTGTTATGAAATGATCATGATAAGTTTAGTAACCATCTGTCCCCATACAAAGTTATTACAATGTTATTGACCATATTCCTTATAATGTTTACTACATCCTGTGACTTACTTATTATATAACTGGAGGTTTGTACCTTTTAATCCTCTTTATCTATTTTGCCCACCCTCTTCTGCCTTTTCTTAATATGATAGAGCAGTTATTTCTCCTTTCTTGACATTTAATATGTACTTAAGATGTATTTGTTCTGGCCTTTTATGCCATACAACTACTGACTGTCAACTAGTTGGTTTACTGTTATTAAGAATATATTTTAAAATATGTATATATATATTTAATACCCAGCAAAACATCTTAAATTCTTCCTTTTCTACTTCTGCCCTTCCCCATCTCAGTCTTCTGCAAGGCTGCTGTTCTTCAAAATATAGTCTCTGATTTGCTGCCAAACAAATCACACTTTTCCTAAAGCAAGACAACTTGATCCTTAACTCCTTTTCCCCTTCTTGGGCTCTCTGGATGTAATCTTTTTCTTCTTCTAGATTGTTCTTTACTTCCAGTATAAAAATTCCTGACTTTTTTTGGTCATTTTCCTGGTCTACAGCTTTTTCCACTCATGATCCTGGGGGGAATAATACAAGAATCTGGAGCCAAACAGACAGAGGTTGAATATTCTTTAGACATTGTGAGAGAAGAAAGGCTGAACACAAGTACATTATTTTTTAAAATTATTACAGTCCTTCATCCCAGAACTCTTGTAGAATTTGGTGAATGTATTCATATTTATTCTTTCATGAGAGAAAACTTCATGGTATGAGAGAAGCTTTTTAGAAATTTAGTTTTGAGAACATGTCAAAGTTTTATTTCAATCCTGCTGCCAAGGAGGAGTGAACCAGGCCAGTTGAAAGAGTGATTAGATACGAAAGGAATACCTGGCTAATGATCTGTAGACTCTTGACTGATTGACAGCTGAGTAGGAAGATAGCTAAGTTCCCAGAAAAGCTTTGTTAAACTTGTTAAAATTCATCCAAAATAGATAAAGCTTTTTACCAGGAATGGTAATTTCTTCCCAGAAGGAGTTTATAAAAATATTATGCCAAAAGTTCTGTTCTAGATAATGTTTGGAACAAGTTTTTCTTTATACCATTCTCTATTTTATAATCAAATTTGTCTTTTAAATTCCTGCCTTCCTGCCTTTGCTCTTGTTATTACCTTCACTTGTAAGGCAGTTATCCTATTTCTACTTCTTACTTACTTACTAACCCTTTTAAGATTAGACGTTTTCCTTTCTTCCAAGTCTTTGTTGACTTTTTCAACCTTCCATGAATTCTTTTATTTACCGAATGCTTTCAAGACTTTCCTCTATGTGATTTTCACTAATTTGATTATGATATGCTGTGGTAGGATTTTCCTCATGTTCCTTCTGTTTGGCACTCATTGAGCTTAATGTGTCTGTGCATTTATAGTTTTCTATCAATTTTGGGAAAATTTTAGCTTTTATTTCTTCAACAGTTTTATCGTCTGCTGTCCCCCCTTTCTTCTGAGATGTCCATTAAACATACATTGCTTGATATTTTCCATGTCCCACATTTCATTTATGCTTTTCTTTAGGGGGAAAGTAATTCTTTTCTCTCCCTATTTCATTTTGTATAGTTTTATGTTATTATAGCTTAAAGTTCACTTATTTTTTCCTCTGCAGTGTGTAATTTGCTGTCAATTCCATCTTTTATATTTATAATTTTAGAAATTTTCATCGGTATACATTTGATTTGGATCTTGAGTTTCTCTTATCATGCTCCTGCTTTTCTCTAACTTCTTGAGTGTATTTGTAACAGCAGTTTTATCATCCCTGAGTTATAATCCTATTGTCTGACATTTCTATGCCATTTCTGTTGATTAATTTTTCTTCTCATTATTGTTTGTATTTTCTTGCTTCTTTACACCCCTGGTAATTTTTACTGTATACCAGATATTGTGATTTTTACATGGTTGGAAGTTGGACTTTTTTGTATTACTTTAAATATTTTTTGGTTTGGTTTATAGTTAAGTTATTTTGAATTGGTTTGATCCTTTGGATCTAATAATCTTTGGAGTTCATCCAGGACAGCCTTTAGTTTAGGGCTGATTTATCATTACTACCAAGGCATTACCCTAAGGACTCCAGTTGATACCCTGTCTATTAGGAGGTCTTTCCACTCTGGCTGGTCAGTCCAGTGTGATCTTTGAGAATGTTTTGTCTGTTTTTTTCCTGGTGTTTCATTCCATGGCCACTATAGTTTAATCACATGTATGCACAAATCAGTATCCAGCCAAAGCCTCTGTAGCTCCCTCCTCTCTGGTACTCTGATTTGCAAATTCTAGCTGTCTTGGACTCCCCAACTTCAAATTCTGTTTCCTCAACTTAGCAAGACCTGGTGGGCTCTATTTTGGCACTCCTTCCCAGCACAGAGACCTGGAAACTCCAAGCTGTAAGGTCAGGCACTTGCACTGTTACTTTGTTTTCTTTCTCATAAGGACCGTGGTCTGTTGCTGCCTGTTTTCCAATTTCTAAAAACTGTTGTTTAATATTTATTTTTCTAATTAGGGCAAGAGGGAAAATCTGATCCTTGTATTCCATTATGGTCTGAAGCAGAAATCTTACCCTTTATTCCTCCCTGCTGCAGCTTACCCAGGGAATCTGGCTAACTTGAGAAGAGAAGTAGAATGTATAATTTGAAAGTTTGTCACATACATTTCCCCACCTAGCCTGTTGAAAATAATTTAAAAAACTGATTCTAAAAACTAGACATTATTATGGTATGTTTGAATATGTGATAATATTCCAGTGTATTTTTTTGTATAGTCACATATCTAAGCCACTGCTTCTGTGAAGCCTTTGATTTTATAAACCAAAATATAGTGTGTGCAAATGAATAACTGATTATAAATTTTTTATTTAGAATGTTACCCTAAAACTCTAATGGAAAGCAGTTTGTTATAAAAATATACCTGCATTTACCATATGATCTAAGAATTCTGCTCTTAGGTATTTACCAAGAGAAATGAATGCAGATATCCACACAAAGACTTGAAATGAATATTTATCATAGCTTTTATTCATAGTAGTGCCTAACTGGAAAACAATCTAAATGTCCTCCACGTGACTAATTGGAACACTATTCACCAATTTAAAAGGACTATGTTATTAATACATAGAACAACATGGATGAATAGCAGAAATATGCTGAGCTGTGTAAACAGCTCATACAAATTAATACCAAAAAACCCAAAAAACTCGATTAAAAAGTGGGAAGAAGTACTGAGTAGACATTTTTACAAAGAGAAAATACAGATGATCAACAGGCATGTGAAAAGATGCTCAACATTGCTAGTCATCAGGGAAATACAAATCAAAATCACAGTGAGATATCATCTCACATCTGTCAGAATGGCTATCATCAAAAAGAATGCAAATAACAAATGTTGGTGATGATGTGGAGAGAAGGGAACCCTCGTACACTCTTGGTGGGAATGTAAATTGGTACATTCGCTATGGAAAACAGTATGGAGGTTTCTCAAAAAAATGAAAACGGAACCGCCACATGACCCAGCAATTCCACTCCTGCATGTATATCTGAAAAAAAACCAAAACACTAATTTGAAAGGATACATGCACCCTAATGTTCATAGCAGCATTGTTTACAATTGCCAAGATACAGAAGCAATCTGAGTGTCCATTGACAGATGATGACTGGATAAAGATGTAGTCTGTATCTATAATGGAGTACTACTCAGCCATAAAAAATAATAAAATTTTTCCACTTGTAGCAACATGGATGGACTTAGAGGGCATTATGCTAAGTGAAATAAGTCAAACAGAGAAAGACAAATACTGTATGGTTCACTTGTATGTGGAATCTAAAAAATACAACCAAGCAGCAAATAAACAAAAAAGCAGACTCACAGAGAACAACTTAGTGGGTACCAGTGGGAAGGGGAGATGGGCAATGTGGGGGTAAAGGATTAAGAGGTACAAACTATTAGGTATAAAAAAGCTACAAGGATATATCATATAGCACAGGGAATATAGCCAATATTTTATAGTAACTATAAATGAAGTATAACCTTTAAAATTTGTAAATCACTGTATTGTACACTTGTAATTTATATAATATTGTACAGCAGCTATACTTCAATTTAAAAAAAAAAGACAAAAATATGCTCAGTAAAAGAAGCCAGGCACAAAAGAATCTATATGAAATTCCTTAAAGGCAACTAACTAATCTACAGTGATAGAAATCAGATATGTGATTGCTTAAATTAGGAGGTTGGTAAATATTAAGTGCAAAGGGATCCAAAAGAAAATTTGTGGAATGATGGGAACATTCTGTACCTTGATTGTTGTGTTATACATTTGTCAAAACTCATCAAACTATACTCTTAAAATATGTTTGTCCATTTTGTAGTATGAAATTATACCTCAAAAAAGTTGACTGAAAAAGAACTATAGTAAATGAGTTTAACAACCTAGAATTATTGGCTGAAATCTGACATGTTTAAATAATATATAAACAAATATGTATGACATAAATATGCACACATATTTTTATAACAAATATTAGCAACCTAGATTCTGATTCTTTTCTAAGATGCAGAGTTCTTTTCAACCTTTTACTTTTGTAATGTATGAAATGTGAAGGTTGTTAGAAATTCTTTGTGTCTGGCTATAAAAAGGAAGAAGTCAATAAGCTTAAAAGTTTTCTAAAAATTGACTTAATTTATCTTTTCTCCAGAAATCTTCCTGCCAAATCTGTGGAAGAAGCTTTACGTCACCGACAAGAATATGATGAGATGGTGGCTGAGGCTAAAAAACGAGGTATAAAATTGAACTCCAATTGGTATATTTAATTTATTGATGTCACTAGGCAATCAACCTCTTGGTTAATTTCAGCAGGGAGGCAGATAGTGAAATTGACCAAGTCTGTCTTTAAGATGATGCTGATTTTTTATTTTTCTAACTAAAATTGTTCTCAAAGAAAAATAAAATGTCATACTAGAATCACAGTTTTTCTGTAAGTACTTTTACAAAACTAGTAGGAGGAGAAAGGCAGCAGACTATCTATGAGGGACCTTGTAAATACAGTCATAAAACTTGGACTACCATTATCTTAATATATAAATGAAGGTATTATTTGTGAATTTATTCATGAAAATCACTTCTTTTACATTAGGCTTTTGATATTGTATAATTTAATAATTTTAACACTTTGCAGTAACTTTGTATATGGTTGTGAGAATATGATTTGGAATTAAAATTTGCTTTTATGACTTACAAAGTTTCTAGAGTCCCGATTATGTCATTTGGACAGGCATGTAAGTGTGCACTTTTATGTGTATAAATTCACACATTTATTCATTTATTCTCTCTTCAACCAAAAATATAAGGATTGCTTAACAATATTTATTTACTAAGCACTATTAATGATATATCTATCATTTCTCTATTTGTGAGGCATCTTGTGTTCCAAGATTGTAACTTCTTTTCAGAGGGTTGTTGTGTGTATGTGTGTGTGTTAGGGGGATTTTAAAGTTTCCATCTAATTAGCTAAATGAAACATCATACTAAAAAGAGTTCACTGTAGTAAGAGCTGTTGGCAAAATCTTTTCTTAATGACATGTGGGTTTATGTGAGATAATTCATAAACCCCTTGTATGAAAAAATGGTATTGGTTAGTTGCTAACAGTTGTTTATTTTTACATAGTTAATTCATGAAAAATTTCATTCATTGATTAAGTATAAATAGAATATGTGATATAGAAGTCTAGATAAATCATTTTTCTGAGCTTTTTTCCATTTACTTTTGTAGAATAGATGCTATTTTAAAATAATGTTAAGTTTATTTTCTTTCTCTTATTTCCCTTCCCTCCTTTTCTCTCTCCTTCCCTTTTGCCTTTCTATCCTTCCTTCCTATTATCAGAGTATTCTTTTTGAGAAAGCCTCTTTTGTAGACTTAGGTAGAAGAAAGGCATTTTAATCTAGCTCTTTTTGTTTTGAAATAATTTTTACTTGTTTAAAACAGAAATTAAAGAAGCACATAAAAGAAAAAAAATAATGAAAGAACGCTTTAAACAGGAAGAAAATATTGCAAGTGCAATGGTTATTTGGATCAATGAAATACTACCCAATTGGGAAGTAATGTAAGTAAGCAGACTTTTCCTGAATTACAGTCTGTCTCCAAAGATCTCATGTTTCCAATTCTATGTTTTTACGACTTCTAGCATGTATCTTATGTTTTGGTTAAGTTATACTGTGATTAACCAATGTCTGAAAATTTTCATGTTTATCTCTGTGCTTTGCTTTTGTAAATCTCTCAGTCTCTAATGCCTACTTCCTTTACTGATCACCCTCTATGCCTGTCAGAATTTTACCTATCATTTGAGTCCCATCTGAAATACTAGTTGATCTATGAAATCTTTAATTTCATCATCTACCGTATTTTCTTAATTCTAACATACCATCTATTGTAATATGTACTGTTGATGCAATAGCAGGCTTTTGGCTAAAAAATATTAAATGTGTACATTCTAAATCTAGTATATATTCATTAAATGTTAAATATTTAAGTGATTTTTAATATGCTTCTCTCATACTCAGGAGAATATGACACAAATGCTCTTCCCCTTCTTTAATATCCCATTATACTTTGAGAGTGATATCCTTCTTGCCTAACTGCCTTTTATTTTTTGATAATATTTTTATATATACCTTATTTTTTTCTCTAGACTGGAGGATAGGCGATGTCTTCTGCAATGCCTAGTGTAGGACATGGATTGGGAATTTGTTGACTATCTGCAGAGTGTGATAGATATTTTATTAAGCTCTTTATATAAGTAATCACATTTGATTCTTACAACCTTTGCTCCCGTTTATCTTACAGGGAAGCTCAGGGTGAGAGAGGTTAAGTGATTTGCCCAAGGTTGTATAGTCAGTGAATGGCTAACCAGATTTGAACTCAGCTCTATCTGACTCTAAAGCCCACATTTCTTTCAGTAGACTATGCTGCCTCTCAAAGACTAGGGCTTTGCCCTCAGTAAATACTTTGTGATTTTGTTTTTGGTACTGAAATGACAACTTTCCTTTTATCCTGTTTTTTCATAATTGTCCCAAATGACAACTTTCCTTTTATCCTGTTTTTTCATAATTGTCCCCATATTTCTGATTCTTTCGTTATATTCTTAGTGTAAGTGGCAGCTATAGAAGGCTGTTCCTTTTAAATTACTCTTGCCCCTCTTTGGGGTACTATATATTTTTAGGCTTTTTTTTTTTTTTTGCCTACAAGCATGAACCTAAGGAAAGGATGCATCACATACTTAACTCTCTCTGTTCTGAAAAAAATCATTCAGTCACTTGGCCATAGACTAGATAAACCATCGTGCAGCTAGTATTTTCGGTATTAAAAGTAACTTTCTCCTTTTTTCTCCCCCTTTAATTCTAGGCGTAGTACAAGAAGAGTTCGAGAATTGTGGTGGCAGGGATTGCCCCCTAGTGTTCGTGGGAAAGTTTGGAGTCTAGCTGTAGGAAATGAACTAAATATCACTCCTGGTTTGTATTCTGTATTCAGTTACTCCCACCCATGCAAATAGCTATCTCCAGAATTACAAAACAGATTAGTGGATTGGGCATTTGAAAAGGCACTACCATATATGTTATTTTAAGAGCATGCTTCATTCCTCATCCCCCCTAAAATCTGGTATGATTTAATAAGTTACTATTTTTCATATTCTATAAATAAGATTTGTGGGTTTTCCCTTAGTTTACAACCATCAATAATAATCTTGACATCCAAATACCTTAACTGTAGGTAAATTCAACAACTTCTGGGAGTCTAGGTAGCAGTAGTTGAGTAAGTATATCCAAGGAAAAATTATGGTCTAATTGTGGAACGGTCTCCTCTTTATTCAAAAAAATGTAAATATTGGGGGAAGGCTAGAAATTTCCTTTTTTCCTACCTTTCTTCACAAACCAGTCCTTTTGGATTTAAAAAAAATTTTTTTAAGTTAACCAAAAACATAAAGAAGTAAGATGGTTCTCAAGGAGTAGTTGTTTTTATTAAGTTTCTTAAAACCTTGAAGGATGGAGGGGAGGGTATAGCTCAGTGGTAGAGCTGTGCTTAGCATGCATGAGGCCCTGGGTTCAATCCCCAGTGCCTCCATTAAAAATAAAAAAATAATAAATCTAATGACCTCCCCCCCAAAAAAAAACCTTGAAGGAGAGGAGTAAAATGTAGTATAGTTTTGATGACCTAAAAAAAATTAGATACCCAGGAAGAAAGAAAAATGCCACATGATATCACTTACATGTGGAATCTAAAAAAAAAAGACAAACTTATTTACAAAACAGAGACAGACTTACAGACAGAAAACAAACTTATGGTTACCAGGGAGGAAGGAAGTGGGAAGGGATAAACTGGGAGTTTGAGATTTGCAGATATTAACTACTATATATAAAATACGTAAACAACAAGTTCATACTGTATAGCACAGGGAACTATATTCAATATCTTATAGTAACTTATGGTTAAAAAGAATATGAAAATGAATATATGTACGTTCCTATATGACTGAAGTATTGTGCTATACACCAGAAATTCACACATTATAAACTGACTATACTTCAATAAAAAATATATTTTAAAAAATTAGATAAAATAGGGATAATATCAAATAGGGGAAAATGTAAAATAGTTAATAATAAAAGGTGCTAAGTGGTCTGAGTGATAAGGATAATGCTAGACAAAGGCACCACAGAAAGACTTAGGGACTCTAGTATAATAATATAAATATGTATTGTTACTTAAAATTTTTCATTTACATATTTATTGAAAAAGAGTCAAGCAATAGTAAAATACAAACTGTATGTTTCTTCCCCCTCTTCCACTGAAACTCCTGTTCTTGATCCTACTATAAGTGCAAGTTAACAATTTGGTATATGTTCTTCCAAATCTTTTTTCTATGCACATAAAAAAGGTGTATATCTACATATGGTAATTTTTAAGGCTTCTTTTTTTCTTCCTTTTATTTTATTTTTTTTCCCACAAGAGGCAGTTTGGATTTTAAGGTTATTCTGTGGCTTGCTTTTTCCACACTGTAATCTATTCTGAACATCCTTCCGTGTCAGTACATACAAATGTACCTTATATGTACTGTAGCTGCACTGTATTCCAGAGTTTGGCTGTACTGTAATTTATTTAACCATTTTCCTAGCAATAGTGAAATCAAAGACATATATGTTAAAACCACATCAAGATACTGTTTTTTAACTCCTCGAAAGTAATTAAAATGAATGAAAATTATCCACATAAAGCATGACTGAAAATAATTCAGAACTATTTATCAAAAACTTTGAAAACATAACCTGTGACCCATTCATTCCAGTTTTAACACTCTAAGTAAATAAATAATTAGGATTGGGTACAAAAACTTTTCCACAAGGATATTCATTGCAGCAACCAACATTATATATAGTTGGAATGAACTTATAACAAATACCTAATATTTACTTTTAGTCTTAAAAATGATACCAACTTTGAACAGCGTTATCATGTATGATTTATAAAATTGATTTTCACAAATATCCTGTAATGAATATGTCATTTTAACTGGACCTTTTTTCAATTAAAAAAATTAGAATTTAAAGGAAGAATCAAGTTTTAATTTAAACTTAGGTATTGTAATAGTTTGAAGTCTTAGGAATCGGTTTTGCATACAGGTGAGATGATGAAGTATTGGTGGCTATTTTAAGTTTTGTTTACAATTTTGTTTTGTTGAGAACTTTGGCTTTACAATGTTAGGTGTCCTACTCACTCAGACATTAAAATACTGGTTAAGTTGATATTAACCTTTTGTGATACTATAATCAAAAAATTCTTTTAAGCTTGAAATTTATAAGGTTTGAAATAACTGGGTGATTTATTTTCAAAGTAATGTTAGGTTTTCTCTGCTAAACAATTATGTATTCAGGAATGGAATGAGTACTCATTCTCTTCTTTAGTGATGAGAAGGAAGCTAAATTTCGATTGAAGTAAATTTACTTTGGATAACCTTGTTTATTACTTTCAGTGGCTCTACTGGTGACTCTATACCTATTGTATTGGTTTTAATCATGAAATTTATAACCATCTGAAAATAATAACTGAGAATAAGTATTCTAAAGTCAGTCAAATGTGGTTCAAATCTTGGTTCCACTATATAATAGGTTTTTGACCTTGGGCAAATTACTTAACATCTGGAAGTCTTAGTTTTCTTCATCTGTAAATAGAGGTAAGATTATTAGCTATCTCAAAGGAGTGTTCTAACAGTTATTTTTGAAAAGAAACATAAAATTATAGTGAAAGTGAAATTTGCTGAGAGTGTATACAAATCATTATTGTCAGAAAATCAGAAAGTGAAACATATACTGATCTCAGAATATTCTCTGTTCAAGCCCAAGATACTTCTTTAAGTCTGCTTCAAGCTCTACATTGGTAGATACAAAATAAAATGTGTGACATATGGAGTCAAGAGTGGAATTGAACTGAGATGCAGATAATCTTACTATAGATGAGCACTGTAAATCTTTCCTGGAGAAGTGTCCTTTGATATTTTGAAATGCATTACCACATTTTTATTATTGGATCAATTTTGTGACTTTCAAAGGTGATCTTGGTTAACCTTTCTTCTTCCAAGACAGATTGTTGTTTGTTTGTTTTGGAGGGGAGGTAATTACGTTTATTTATTTATTTAATGGAGGTACTGGGGATTGAACCCAGGACCTTGTGCGTGCTAGGCATGCACTCTACCACTGAGCTACACCCTCTCCCCGAAGACAGTTTTGAAATTTGAATAGAATAATGAATCTGGACATAGCTTGGAATCAGTTTGAAATCAAAAAGCACAAACTTCAATTTGGTACTTGGTAACTACAAAAAAATTGTATATCTAAATTTTAAGATTATATCTACCTCATATATCAAATCATTGACGGAGCTGGGCACAGATAATGGAAAAAAATTTTTTTAATTTCATCTTTCCAAACCATTCCTAGAAATGGAAAGTGAACAGAAGGGAGAAGGGATCAGAATAGAGTCTTTGAAATATATCTAGTCAACTATTTTATAATGATCTGGTTCTTGGCAATATAAGAGTACTCATTATGGTACAGTCATACATTGGGATACTGTGCGGTTGTTAAAAAAAAAACCTAAAGCAGATTTATTTTACTGATATGGAATAACTTCCAATATGATAAATCAAGACACAGATCAGTGCATTTAATATGTTGCCACTTTTTTTTTTAAAGGAAACTATATAAATGCTTGTGGATGCTTGTGTTTATTTTTAGAGCTTTAGTAAGAATAGGTGCATTGGAGGGAAGGAAATTTATTTTTCACTCTATACTGTTTTGTACTGTTTGAATTTTAAAAAAAATCATGTTCATGTATTATCTTTAAAAACAAATACATTTTTTAAAAAGATTCATTGAAGCAAAAAATGTTCTTGATATTTGGGACAATATATAAATATTGGTGTGTGGGCAAGAAATATTTTTTCCTGTTTTGTCATTGAAATTTACTATTTTTATGTACACCAGAACTAATACAACATTGTAAATCAAGTATACTTCAATTTTAAAAAAGTGAAAAATAAACTATAGTATCTGCACTGTTTAGTTAGAAAGTAGGAACAATTAAAATTTGAGAACTGAGGGAAAATGTTTAGTTTTTTCTGTTCTTGACATTTTAATCAGATTCTGCATTTGGAAGCACAGAGTGGCATTCTCAGAAAGTGATCAGGCACTTGAAGAAAAAAGATAGGGGTAGAGATTTTTGTATGTAGACCCTCTGGCCAAATCTGTGTAAAGTTCGGTAGCTTCAGATAGCAATATTATAATGGAGAAACTAGTTTCAAGAGAGAAGGAAATCAAGAACTAGCATTTATTGAGGGTCTGTAAGGTGTCAGGAGCTTTATGTAAATTATCTTGTTTAATCATCTGTAACCCCATGAGGAGGTGTTATTTTTCTCCAGTTTACAGATGAAGAAAGCCACATTTGAAAGTGATCAAGTAACTTTCTTGAAGTTCCACAGGTAGTAAGTGGCAGAGCTGGAATTTTAATCTAGGTATGACTGACTCAAAAAAAAAAATCACGTTTCTGCTGTACTACAATGATGCTACTTTAGCAGAAGCATCTCTTCCTGCCTCTTACATACATTCTGTATCGTAGCTATTTGGATGACCACTCTGCAGTGTTCTTCTTTGCCTTTTTGGTTGTGTAATGAAGTTTTGGTAGAATCAGATACTTTAGTTTGCCACATTTTTGATGCCTGCTACATAAGGGAGACCTGACCTTATAATAGGATTTTCCTTTTTCTTTTTAAGAGTAGAAATAAAAATATGTAAATAAATTTCTTTCCTACTATTTATGAGTTTTTGTTCTTTTTTCCCCCAGAGCTTTATGAAATCTTCCTCTCAAGAGCAAAAGAACGTTGGAAAAGCTTCAGTGAAGCAAGTTCAGAGAATGATATAGAAGGTGTGATTTTTTTTTCTTTTCAATAAAAATTTCTCGAAAATCCAGTTGCTGAGGTAATAGTGTGATTCCATGTGTCAGGAACTGTAGTAATTCTTAAGTAGGTGGTATTATCCTGAATGATGTAAGAGGAAATTGAGGCTCAGAACAGTTAAATTGTAAACAGTGAAGGTGTAATGTAAACCCAGATTGTTGGACCCCAGAGACCAGGATTTAATCACAACGATAAGACTAATGGGGTGCTGTATTTTTAGGCCAACTCTTACTTCACTTAAAGACAGATGATATTTACACCTCACTTGTGACCTCTTGTCTCCCCACTCACTGACTTTAATTCACTCTCTACTATATTATTTATAATTCTATGTTGTACCTTAACCTTTTTTTCATTTAATTCACACATAGATGTCATCTTTCCCTCTAATCTCATTAGTTTTTTTCCTAGTCATTTTGGGGAAAACAAGAACAGTTTTTTTCCTGTCATCATAGTTTATTAAAGTTAGGTACATTAATTCAGTTATCTCTTGTCCTTGAGTAAAGGAGAGCTGTTTGTCTGCTAGTCACTTTTCTTTCTACTTCATAAAAAGCAAATTTTTCCCTTGCCTGTAAGTAAAACTCTAGAAGTGAACGAATGTGGTTTAGGATAGAGAAATGGTACACATCTTAAGTGGTTTTCTATGAGTATCTAAACAACTCTGTTAAATTCCTTGAATACTCTTTTTTTCTACTTTAGAAAAGTGAACAGTAGGGTGGGGAAAATTGACTAAAAAAGGTTAGGGAGAAGACTTGATTTCTTGACTCATCCCATGACCTATTAGCTATGTAGCTATGTCTGCTATTTATGGGAAACTAAAAGTACAAGGAAGAAGATATAAGAAGTTTTAATTGGCAGGGTCTCAGCCTGAGTTTTAAACTCATTTTTAAAAAGTATTAAAAGTATAAGAATTAAAATTATAAGCATTTACTTCTGAGGCATTTTGCCATGATTAAATGGTAAAAGTTACACTTTAGTAGGAATTAAATATAAATGAAGAATTTTTTCAGTCAGAAGCACTGTTCTATTGAAATTGTTGATTTCTTATTCCTGAGTGTTTATAATTTGCAGTTGTCATTTAACTTTTTTGGTCATTATCTTTTCAAATATTCTGCCTTATCTCTCATCTCCTTCTGGGACTTTGATTGTATGTATATTAGACCATTTAGCAGTGTCACATAAGTCTCATACTATTTTTTAAAAATTATTTTTCTTTCTATGCTTCAGTTTAGATGATTTTTATAATCAAGTACATGAATCCTCTCTTCTCATATCTATTAGATATGTCTGTTAAATATGTCCAATGAGTCTTTAAGTTCAGATATTGTATTTTGTAATTCTAGAATGTCTACCTGCTTCTTTCGTAGAGTCTATTTTCTGTGGAAATTCTTCATCTTTCTATCCCATACATTTCCCCCTTCATTTTCTCTGTTTCCTTTAACATTTATAACAGTTAATATTCTTGTTTGTTAATTCAGAAATGCAAGTCTGCTTCTATTGGCTGGTTTTCCCCTTGATTATTAAGTCATATTTTCCTGATTCTTTACATATCTTAAAATTTTAAATTGTATGTCAGTCATTACATATGAAAGGAATGTATAAACTGAAGCTAATGTTTCCGCTGCAGAGGGCACATGCTCTTTTCTGTTAGGCAGTGGACTTATTACCTCAGTTCAGTCAGTAACCTGAACTAAGCTGGGGCAAGATTGCAGCTTTAGATAGATTTCATTTCGTTTTTTTTTAATTTTTATTTTTAAATTTTGTTTTGGGGGAAGTAATTAGGTATTTATTTAATGGAGGTACTGGGGGTTGAACCCAGGACTTTGTGCATGCTAGGCACACACTCTACCCCTGAGCTATATACCCTTCCCCAGATTTAGTTCATCTTGATTTTCAAATTTGTTGATGGGAAGAACTTTATTTTGATTACAGCCCCCTCCCCCCAAGACATTCTCCCAAGGACCATGTGATTTAGGATGATTTCATTCTGCCTCCCCTGCCCAGCCTCCTGCACTACAGTAGCACTCAGTTTTCAAAAGTCCCACAGGGGAAAACTAAATACACATTCAGTCTCTTCCAGGTCTTATCTCTCACATCAGACTTAATGTGGCCATAAAAAGCTCTCTGGTTTCTTTCTCCTTCCCCACCAGAATACCTATGTCATTGGCAAGCTTAGTCCTGAGCCCCTGCCCAGACTTGGCAGGTGCCCCTAGAAAGAAAAATGGCCACTGGTGTCCCCTCACTTGGGAAAGGAAAGAATATTCTTTCTGGGATTTAAAACCTCTTTGTCCACAGCTCTCTTGTCTTTTTTAAAATATATAATATTTGAAATGTATTTGTTTTGTCCTAGTTGTTATTGTGGGAGCAATAGTCTTTGCCCACCTTCTATTAAATCTGAAAGCAGATTCAGTGTGTAACTTTCTGATAAATTTTTAGTTACTTTCTTCATATTAAGGGCTCTAAGTTTTACCAAAAGCTATGTGTCACTTCTTGAAATTTCTTGATTATTCAACTTTCATCTTTCCTTAAGTAACATATCTGCTATGTGATCATTCTGTGTTTACAAGATTGGATTTGGTATAGTCAAGTAATCATTCACATTTTTTCTGCCTGGCAAATGCAGGTGTATCTGTTGCTGATCGAGAAGCCAGTTTGGAATTAATTAAGCTGGACATATCTCGTACATTTCCATCTCTCTACATCTTTCAGAAGGTGAGAGTTTCTAACCAGCTTGTAACTACTATTTTTTTAAATCCAAGAGAACAGGCAAAACTATAAAAATGAGGGACATTTAAATAAAGTAAAACTAGTAGGAAAATTTTAAGGCATTTCTATTATTTTTGTTTATTTTTGTTTTTATTTAATGGAGGTACTAGGGATTGAACCTAGGACCTTGTGCATGCTAAGCACACACTCTACCACTGAGCTGTACCCTCCCCTCCCTCTATTATTTGATTCCACTGATTGAATGCATTGCAGTTAGCATAGCACATAAAGATGCTTGATGAATTTTCACTGAGGTGAGTTTCTTTGTTTTATTTTTATTCTGTAACATATTTGAATTTTAACATTTTTGCCTAGTAAATTGTTAAAATATGAAGGAGTTTGTTCCAAAACTTAAACGTTTTCACAATCACTATTGAAATGGGAAGAAGTGGTTAATTTCTTGTGCAGTGGCTGTTATAAAGTAGCTTATACTTTATGAGGAGAGAAATAATTACATTTTATATGTATATATGACTCAAGCCTTTGTTCATGGAATTCTTCTATTTTAGGTTGATAAAATGAGATTAAAATTTTTATCATTAAGATTAAATTATTGATAAACTTAATTTAGTGTAGCTTGATGGTTTTCTTTTGCTGAAATTGTATCAAATAAAACAATCTTTTATACTCTTATTATACCAAATATAGACATCTTTAAAATTGTACACAAACTGTATAGCTTGTGTCCATTAAATGAGTTTATTTGGTTTTTGTTATTCACAATGAAATATTTTTTATCCATTCCTTAGAAAACTTTTTGGCAGAGTGCATTTAGAGTATTTTTGACAATGATTAAATATACTAAAACTAGTCATTTAGGAAGTATAAAGTTTATTAACATGTATTTTGAGAATTAACTTGCAGACAATTATTTGTATAGTTTGACATTTCATTTTTCTCTTCTCTAAGGGTGGCCCATATCATGATGTCTTACATAGTATATTAGGGGCATATACATGTTACAGACCTGATGTTGGTTATGTAAGTATTTGTTTCAATCTGTTTTTGAATATAAACATTTAACTATCATATCTCATAGTATCTTATATTGTATTAGCTCCCAATTGTCTGTATCTCATGTTTTTTTTCTTGGTCCTGTCAACTTACCTGGAGAGGAATCTTCCCATCTCCTACCAGGGACTTATGAGACTGCCAGCTTTCTGGGAGAGCAGCTGGGGATTTCACCATTCAATTTGTAAATGTTTATTTATTGTCCCTGCTGTGGTGCCTTATCCTCTTCTCCCTAATGCTCCTTTTCCTGACTGTTCCTTTAGCAGTAAACCTCTTACATTCTGCTAGGTTGAGGGAAAGATAGGCACCTGTCCATACAGGATAGGGGAGAGGATTTGCTCTTTCTGTGGATTTTCAGCCAATCCTAGTTTTAGCCCTACCTTTCAATTTTAAAAGTAGCTGGTAACTTCAGTTCCTGAGCCTTTCCAAATTTTATGGCTGAATTGGCTTACTGCTTATTGACTTCCTTCTCTACATATATTTTACTATCAACATTCTACATTTAGTGAAGTTAAAATTTCTAAAATGCTGTTGACATCTTTTATCTACTTTTTATATTATTTTCCATTCTTTTTGTCCTCCTAGGACAATTTTGAAAAACATTTTCTGTTATTTTAGTTGGATTTCGAAGGGAACAAAGAAGAAACAATGCGTTCAATTTGCCATGCTTAACTAGAAATTGCAAAACCTTCATCTTCTCGCCTTTGTCTTAAAATAGAAGAATTTTAGAGCACTCACAGTAGGTAGCTGCCTGGTACAGATTATTTTGTTGCATGTTCATTTGTGTATTCATCCATTCACTCAACAGATATTTATTGTGTGTTTATTGATATTTCCCAGGCAGGCCTTGTTCTAGGCATTTTGTTCACTCCAGTGGACAAAAAGAAAGATTCCTCTCTCTGATGCTTTTAGTTTAGAAGGAGGAGACAGACAATAAACAACAAATAAATAAGTAAATCATATGTTATATTAAAAGGTGATAAGTGCTATGGAAAAAGTGTGCCATAGTAAAGGGGACGAAGTGACAAGTTTGGAGATGGAGCAGGTTGTAGTATTAAAAGAAGGTGATCAAGTAGTCCTTATGGAGAAAATCAAATTTGAACAGAGAATCTATACTCTCTTGCTCATGTGTTCTGTAATAGAATCATAAAAACATTACATAATCCCATCACATTTTTAAGGTAACATTTATTTAAATTTTTTTCATTATAAGTGTAATTGTCAAGGATTTAATTTTCAGCACTTGTTAAATATATTTTAAAATAAAATGTATGTCTGTTTTAAAAAGTGTAGCCAATGGACTTTAAACACTACAATGAGTTTATATATGTCATCATCCATTTAAAGAAAAATGTATAAACAATCCCTTTGTTAGTATTCTACAGGATATACAGATTAATTAACTCGTTGGATTGATGTAAAATGACCATGTTATAACCTAATTGGTAAAGCCATGCATGCCTCATTGGCAAACCAGTCAGCCAAATCAGACATATAAGAAGAGATAAAAATAATATCAACTATATTAGAATACATATTTCATGCTGTGATTTGACAAAAAGGTTTTTAACAACATTAATAAAAAATACATTTGAATCTCTAAATCAGTCACACCAAAACTTTTATCTGTGGAATTTCTTCAGTATATTTTGTAAAAATTTGGTAGTGGTTTACATTCTAGTTATATTTAAAATAACAAAGGGCACCAATTTGCATTGCTATTTTTAATTCATTTTCCTGCAACTCTCCATCAAATGTTACATATTGTTAGATAAAAGGTATGGAATGAAGAATTGTAATTGAATTTTGTAATGAAATGAAAATTGTAACTACTCATCTCTATTCTATCACATGATGGAATTCAATCATATTTCTATTTATATATGATAGGAAGCCAGAGGCTTTTCTAAAACAGTATTTAGAATTATCCTGTTTTGTATTTCATGCCTCAGAGCAATTCACCATAGTAAGTTTTGTAATGGGTGAGGACTGTGACTATCTATCATTTGCTTCTATGAATTTAATGACATTCTTAGGCAGAAAAGAAAAATATGTAAATTAAACAAATGAATTCCCTTAAAATAATTCATGACTATACAGTGTGCTCTTTGGAAAGTCTTTTTCTACAGGGTATGGTTGTCCCAATTTAAGCCCACTCTATTTTGGTTGTTGAATTGTGTTAGTTTCCTGCTAGGAGGAAATCGTTCTAGATTACTTGTGAATAGAGTAAAACTCTTTGAGTCTTGAGTGTCAGCTGTCTGTAGGTCCTTTGATATAAGCTTTCTCCTTTGAAGCAAGGAGATAGGTTGCTATTATTTTGCCAGATTGTATCTGCTGGCACATATAGCGAACTGGGCCTGCACTATGGTGGGACTCCAAGGTGAGTGTATCGTAAAAGTGAAAGTGAGAAGACCAATTAAATTTCCCATCATTACAGGAGTCAGAAACTGTAGACGAGAAGTCAGATATTACCATAAGAAATCTGTAAGCTTTGTAACTTTCCCACATTTATTTTTTTCATTATAACTCTGTTTCTCAATAGTGATTATATCAGTAAAACCCCTAAAATAAGAAAGATCTGTGTGCATGTCTGCAAAGATAACAAAAGAATGGGGAATCTGAGTAGATGCCCTCCTCCCATATCCTAGGCAGGCATAGGGGAAGAGAGGAGAGAAAGACTTCATGTGGCAGAAAGTAGGTGGGTTACACAGGTGCTTTAACTGGTGAAGTTTTATTTCTGAAGGTGAGTGGCCCATATATAGGTTTTGTTTTTTTTTAATTACTGTTTGTTTCCCAAATTTTTATTTTGAACAACTTCAAACTAACAAAAAAGTTGTAGGAGTTCTGTTACCCTCTTTCCAGATCAAGTCAGAATCATGTGTGGCACTTAGCTGTTGTATCTATTTAGTCTCCTTTAAATGCCTATTTCAGTGCATCATACCATGAGTTCATAAATAATACAGAATATTCAGAAAAATTGGACTCTAAAGATGTTGTAGATATAACTTGTTTCCTTTTCATATATTCAGAAGAGTGATATATGGTAAATCTGAGCTTTAAATAGCTCAGTGAACATAAAATATAAATTCTAAGAAAGCGTTGTCATTGTTTAATTGGCAGCATTTTGTCCTTTTTGTGATATGTAAAATAATGTTTCTTATAATAAACATATTGATTCAATTAAATATATTTTTAATCCCTTCTTTTGTTCTGCTACCCTTCTGTTACAGATGGTTAACAGTTTGCCTTTCATATCCATTCAGCAAATATTTTGGTACTAAGAATACAACTGTGAATGAACAGACACAATCTTGTCTCTGTATGAGTTTCCTATTCTTGCTGTAACAAATTACTACAAACTTAATGGCTTTAAACAATTCAAATTCACTATCTGACAACTCTGGAGGTTAGAAGTCCGAAACAGATTTCATTGGACTCAAGTCAGAGTATTGGCAGCCTATGTTCTTTCTGGAGGCTCTAGGGGAGAAGCCATTTCCTTGCTTTTTCCAGCTGCTACAGGCTGCCTGCATTCCTTGGCTCTTGATGCCCCACCTCCAAAATTCAAAGTCAATTGTGTAGCATCGTCAAATATCTCTTTAGTCTCCTGCCAACCTCTTATACTTATAAAGACTCTGTAATGATTACCTTGGGCCCAGCCATACAATCCAAAATAATCTTCCCATCGCAAGATCCTTAATTTAATTGTGTCCGTAAAGTCCCTTTTGCCATGTATGGTAGCATTTTCACAGGTTCCAGAGATTAGGACGTGGATATCTTCATGGGCAGATTTATTCTACCTACCACAGGCTCTGTCCTCATGGAATTTATATTCTAGAAAATCAAATAGGTAATTACTACCGAGTCTGCAAAGAGTACTCAGAAGACGCCAGAGAAATAGGAGGAGAATAAAGAAATATTGGATCACAGAAGCTAAGGAAATTCTACTAAGAGAGTAGGAAAGTGTCCATTGGATTTTACAGTGAATATAATTGGTTGTCATGGCAAGAGACATTTCAAGATAGTATATATATAGTAATAGAGTGGGAATCCAGATTGAAGTGCGCTAATGAGTTTAAAGGGAGCTGAGAAAGTAGAAATAGTGATTGTAGGTAACCCTTTCAAAACTTTTTGCTGGGAGGAAGAGGCAGAAGTATCATTGCAAATGTTCTTAGTGGCCACTGTATAAGTCTGTTATACAAATCTCTACCAGAAGTGCTTGATAAACTTTTTTTTTTAATGAAAGAATCAATATTTTTGCAGTAGCAGTTCTAATTTATTTATCTGCTCAGAAATGTGCAAGAGCTACTTATAACTCACAAGCAGACATCTATATAGCTGAGCCTTTTACTGAAGACCTTCCACAATTTGTAAATACATCCTACTTTTTCTAATTTCCCCCATTATTCTCATAAATCTTGTGCTCCAGCTGAGCTGGTCCTGTATGTCTCTGCTCACCACCTTAGAATGGTTTTTCCTGATTTCTTTCTCCTGCTTTTCCCAGGAATCAGCCTTACTAGCCTAACCCCCACAACCTCTTGTTTCTTGGAATTTCAGCAGCACCTCTCTTAAATCTTTTATTCTTAGTTCTTCTCGTTCTTCCTCAGCAGATATGTTATAACAATGAGGACAATCACCTCATTTTCATTAAATTTTGTGAGTTTATACTGTGAAAGAGAAAGACAGAGAAAATGAAAACTAGAGTAGGATACTGAGATAGGCTTTTTGTATGTAGCAAGTAAAAGGTGATACTTTTTTCTTTTTTCCAAAATTTTCTGTAATGCTTTTTAAACTATAAGAACAAGAAATGTAAAATTAGGGAGAATTTCATAATTTTTAGTGGTTCTCTATATTTACCTTTGTTAGGAGATAAAAAGAAATAAGAAATCTTGTTTAATTCTACTTTGTAATATCACTTTGTCATTTTTGAGGAATATGATAAAATAAACTGTATAGAATTATTATTGTAAGCACATTTTGATTAATTTCTTTTCCTTTTGAAGGTTCAAGGGATGTCCTTCATAGCAGCAGTTCTCATTCTCAATTTGGAAGAGGCAGATGCCTTCATTGCATTTGCAAATCTTCTGAATAAGCCATGCCAATTAGCCTTTTTTCGTGTGGATCATAGTATGGTATGGACATTTGGAAAGAATCATGTTTTTCTTTGACTGTCAATTTCTGTAGTCTAAATGCCCTTTAGAGTGAAAAACAGTAATTAGAAGACTAAGATAATCTGATGTAAAATGAAGTTTTCATGGAATTATAGTTTTATGAATGCTTGATGAAAAGAGTCAGAGGTGCTAAGCAAGGTTTTCTATTAATTTATGATTAAGGATTTAATTTCTCTATTTCTAGAGTATACTCTTAAATAATTTTATTGAAATTTCTATCTGTAGATGTTGAAATACTTTGCAACGTTTGAAGTATTTTTTGAAGAAAATCTCTCCAAACTATTTCTTCATTTCAAATCTTACAGTCTTACACCAGACATATACTTGATAGACTGGTAAGTCATAACATACATATGTAAAATATAATTAAAAGGAAACAAAGTGTAACTTTTTCATGTTTTAGGAGCTAGAATAAATCTTATGCACAGGATAGTACATATAAAAAACTCTTACATATAGAGAAACTCTCATTTTTGTGGGGAGGCATTTGATTAAGAGCATAGACTCTGGGTTGAAATCAGAATCCCTCAGTTTGTATTTCAGTTTCCTGACTATAAAATGGGAATAATAATATCTGTATCTTGAGGTGTAGTGAGAGTGTTTTACGTGTATTATTTCATTCAATGCCCAGTACATACTGAACTCTCAAAAAGAGTTAGTTGCTATTCCTTTAGTATTCTTAATACACAAGGGCTTATGAAAGTTATGATAGTATTTCTTTACCAAGGGCTTTGTGTTTGTCAAGACCTTATCCAGCTTTCTGACAGAGTAATGATGCCTTATTTAAGTGCTTATGTCTTTTTTCAACTTTCCAGTTCTAGCTTTTCTGTTGCTAAGACTCTGGTGAGCAGTAGCCAGTTGATTATAGAAAGGGGACTGAATTTTTCCCAAGAGATGGAGCTGTTGCTCTTAAGATAGATTGTTAAGAGTATTATTAAATATTTAAACCTTAAATTGCAATCATTAAAAAGTCAGGGTGGGGAGGGTATAGCTCAGTGGTAAAGTGCATGCCTAGCATGCAGGAGGTCCTGGGTTCAATCCCTGGTCCCTCCATCAAAAATAATAAATAAAGAGATGAACCTAATCCCCCTCTAAAAAAAAATCAGTAGGTTTTATATAAATTACATTAAGTTTTAATATAGATAGATAGATAGGTAGATAGATAGATAGATAGATAGATAGATAGATAGATAGATAGATAGATAGATAGATAGATAGATAGATAATGGCATTGATCAAATATCTTTCCAGTTGTTTGGGGTTTCTTTTATTCAGGCTTTAAAAAAAGTAAGTTATTTTTCGATGTATTCCCGCCTATTCCCATTAGGAACATTAGAGTTCCTCTGGGTAAGACCTAAGATCATGGGGAGAAGGATTTTATATCATGGGACCCAGAGGACCAAGATCAAATACTAAATCTGTAAAGAAGTGGGCGAAAACCCTCAATTGTTCATTTTAAGGAGTGTGAACATTAGGCAAAACAGGATCACAATTGTTAAAGTTTGCAGAATGGAATTAATACCAAGTGAGTACTGTATAATAGAAACTGCCTAGGCACTACTGGTACCCTGTCTCTTTTTGAACAGTGAGTTAGCATTCTCTGTGCTACCAAGAGTATGTATGCTTTTTGTTATGTAGTCAAATATGGGTTTATAATTTAAGAAGTAGATGTGAATTTATTTCACTGCCTTGTTAAGTTTATAACATACAAATCCCAGAATTGATGCAAGAAAAAAAGAGGAATAAATAAGAGGCAGTACTACAGGGTATATTTTTCTTTTTTTGGCAGGAGAGCCTTTAGTTCCTTTGCTCATGTTTCATCAGCACTACCTCAGATATACACACAGTTTGTTTAAAAAATATGTACCTTCTTTGTCAAGGCAACTTCAAGAGAAGTTCTCTAGCACCTACTCTCCCTACTTTTCCAGCCAGAATGCCACCCTGAAGTACTGCTGGATAAAGACTTATATGATCAGACATTGTCAGAAAGGATGGGAAAAACCATTTTGGTGATTCTATTGGAGGGTATACATGCTCCAAAAGAAGTAGTAAGTAAAGTTCAGTGAAGGGAAAATAAAGCAGTGGATGGATGCTTGTGGAAAGAGAAAAGAGAGAAGTCAGACTTTATGGTTTTGTATTTAAGTTACTAAAAGATAATACTTGGGTTCCTCATACAATAATAAGTAACTTTTATTGAGCGTTTCTTATGTGCCAGGCACTGTTCTAAACACTTTACATTTATTAGCTCCTTTAATTTTCAAAACAACCCTGAAAGGTAGTTTTATTATCTTGTTTACTAATGAGGAAACTGAGGCACAGCAGGGATAATTATGTTACTCAAGGTAACACAACCAATCAATTGCAAATCTAAGATTCAAACTCAGGTATTCTGGTTTCAGCGCCCATACCCTTAACCATGAGGTTATTCTGCCACTCTGGTTCGTACTGGACCATATCTCTACTTTAAGATTATAAATTCACTGGCTTTTGTTATTTATTACTTAATTTCCCATGAATGAGGTTCTTTGAGGGAAGGAGCTATACCTTATTTGCCTTTTTATCTCTAATTAAGCACTGTTCTTTTTACATAGAGATGCTTAATGAGTAAACAAATAAGTGAATGAAAAATCTGAATGACTATTTTTTCCCCTAATTTTAGGATCTTCACACTGTATAGCAAATCACTACCACTTGATCTGGCCTGTCGAGTCTGGGATGTATTTTGCAGAGATGGGGAGGAGTTTTTATTTAGGACTGGATTAGGAATCCTCCGATTATATGAAGATATTCTCCTACAGATGGACTTTATTCATATAGCACAGTTTCTAACTAAATTGCCAGAAGATATCACATCAGAAAAGCTATTCAGCTGTATTGCAGCCATTCAGATGCAGAATAGCACCAAAAAATGGACTCAGGTAGAGTGACATTTTCCTACTTGTAATTGATATGTTAAAACAGTTTACTTGTTAAAAAAAAAGTTATGTATTTCTCAAATGTTAGTGTTAAATTAAAAAGAGAACTTTAAAAAATTTCACTTTCAAAAAAAATGGATTGGTTCTCTTTCACCTATTCTATGGTTTTATTTTTATGTAAATCCAGATACATGAGTTTAGTGAAGTGCAGCTACAATAGTCACGTATTTGCCAGGGCAATTATGTAATTACCTAGGTATTTCAAGCAGACAGCAATTGTGTGAAACACCTGATGTGCACTAAGGGTTTGCGACAGAAAGAACATAATGTATGATCCTGACTTTTTAGATGCTTAGTCTTGTTAAGGAAGCAAATGCACTGGCAGTCTAAAGTTAAATTACATAAAAATAGTGTTAAAACTTGCTCCATGAATGATAGACAGTTGGCATTATAAGCTCACAGTTTTATTGCTTATCCAAATGAAAATATAAGAATATTGGTCCAGAAAATATTTTGTTACCTAATATTAATTTTAGAATGTTTGGCAAATGATGAAAACTAGGATCTAACTATATGCCATAAAGTTGGGTTGAAACAAACGAGGATTTGAGAATGGCAGTTTTTTAAGGGGGCAGAGTTAAGTATACTAAAGCTTTTTCATGTTAATAAACTATAGTTATTTAAATCTCTTTAATCGGCATGGTAGTTTTTTTAGGATTAATGTTTATTTTATATAATTTCCAGGTCTTTGCATCTGTAATGAAGGATATTAAAGAAGGAGAAAAGAATAATAGTCCTGCTCTGAAAAGCTAATCTTCAAAATTAACAGACTAGTTGAAATAGAGAAAATTTTTTTTTATAAAAGTTTTTTGTTTCCTATGTAAAAAGCATGGAAGAAAATGTTGAAGAAAGCTGAAAGAAGCAAGACATGGAAAACTGCTGATTTTGAATTCCATGGCTGAAATAAATGAGTAATCTATTGACAGTATTAAAAAAAAAAAACGGTATTTTGTAGGGAGAGCCATTTTACAAAGGAAAAAGGTTAAATGGCTAGTTCATACTCCATAATTTGGAGTGAACAGTTTAATGCAATAAAATTTTTTAACAGCTTTGGAGATAGTTTAAATTTAAAAAATTTTTCTATTTTAACAATTAGCATAAAGGCACTTTGGTAGTCAGAACAGGAGAGTTAACTACTACTTTAACTTCCAAAATACTATTTGAAATAAATACCTTAGTACAGGTGTTATCTTCAGTTCCGAACCTTTGAAAATGTTATAGACCAAGAATGAGCAACTTTATTGTAAATTAGTTAAGTCACTGAAGTTGTTTATCTTCACTCACAGGTTGGGGGAAATTAGGGTTATCTGGGAACTGGAAATATTGATGGGAGATTGTTTAGCATTTGTTTAGGTGTTTTCCACAGTATCATGTCTAGTTTTTGAAGGGAAGTTGTTTCTTTTCCTTACAGAGTTTCTATCACTCAAAAAATTTTTAGCCTGTTTTTAGTTTAAGAAATTGTTCATCTAGTAATTTAAGAAAGCTAACTGGTAGAAGGAAAGTTCTTTGCACTTTAATGGACTGAAGACTTTTTTGGGGAGTAAGTCCATAAATTTAAATGAGGTTTTTCACTGGTAGGAGTAAAAAGTGATGAATTCTGAGAGTTCTTAAATAGCATGGTACTTGGCAAAACTTCAGCTTTGTTAGTTAAAATTGCTTCACTTTCTGTAGAAACAAAATTTGCTGATTTCAACTTGAAATTTGAAATCTTATTATGTAGCCAAGTCCATGACTTGTAAAACACTGTGTATAATTTTTCTAATCAATGGAAATAAGAGTTAAAGAAAAAGATAAATTTTTTCTAATGAGTCTAACTTTGATGGTATAGTAGATAAAGGAATGATTAATTATTGGTAAATTGACATTGAATTTATTATAATATGTTTAATCCTTGAACCTAAAATAAATCACTTGAATATTATGAGTGATATCTATATAACATGCTATTTGGTAATAATTAGACTTACAGTGTGCTTTTATGTTGCAGTGTGGTTTGAAACAACACTTAAGCACACTATTTCTGTTAGTGGTATATGTCTTCAAACTAACAAGCCTGAGAACCTTGTTAGTGTAGTGACTGCCTCTTTAGAGTATGGGACCAGATGGTACCCATATTTTTTTACCCCATGGGTCATTCTAGCCTAGGGACCACTAGTGGAACCTTCAGAAGTTAACTCCTATCATAGGAGCTTGCTTAGTGGAAACTAGTAATGTAAGAAAATATTGAGGGAGTACCCAGGGTCTTAATAGGTTTTAGAATGACATTTGAACTCTGGTAACTACTTCCTTAGTATTGGTGGCTCTGATAGAGGAATGTAACCCCTGGCAGTAATCTCATTGAGGTTATATTACCTGCCTAAATTTAATCTTACTTTTATGTATTTGTTTCCTGAATTGGACCTCAGTTACTGTATTTCTTTTTCTCATTTTTTAAACTTGTACAGTTTCGTTACCTTTCAAGTATAAATGTGTATATAAAATGTAAATACAATGAATTCACTAAAAACCACTATTAACAATGACTGTGTAAATAAAACTTGCAAGCAGAGTAATTACTTGAAATGAATCTTAATTTCTTTGGGGATATTTAACTACATGTGGAGATAAAAAGGAATGAACTTTTCTTGGGGATGCACAAGGCCTTTAGCCTCTTGAGACTGACAGAACTGGCAGCTAAAATATAGTACTATATCTTCCCTTGAAGCTCCTATACAGGAAACATGGGGCTATTCATTTTTTTTTTTCGTTAAAGTATATTTTCAATTAAAAACTAACATTTTCCTAAAATCCTCAAGATAATGTGAAATTTAATATGGTGTTTCATTTGCTTGTATACTTAATATTTCTCACTTCATTGTCCTTTTAGCCCAGGTCTACATTGTATCATTTAAATGCTACTGGAAAATTCCAGTAATTAGCATAGTTTTCTAAAGTCATAGAACATAGTCATAGTTTTGCTGATTCTTTTCGCACTGATGACCTTCATATAATGTTACCAGCTTGAGTATATTTTTTGACTCTACAGAAGTTAGGTAGCATTTGTGAAAGAGCATTGAGATTTTCAAAGCCTCTGATTTCAGGATAACAGCTTTCATTGTAGCTTAGGAACTAATGCTATTTTTATCTAGAATTGTCAACTTTTTAAAATTTACACTGTTGGAGTGTATGATACTAAAGCATATAATCATGGAATAATTTGTCTTGCTTTAAAATGCCACATGGTTTATTGTGATTTTTCATTTCCTATTTTTGTTTGGATAAGGTAAAATTATTTTGTATTCCACAGGTATATTCAGACAGCAGAGACTGGCTGATAAAAAAGAGGCAAAAAAAAAATATGAGGTAGCAATGGAAAATCAGAATTTAATTTGCCATGATAGTTGACATATATCTTGTCAGAAAACAAAGTTATTACCTCTGGTGAAAAGTTATTTTTCTGTTCAATTCATATTATTTTGATTTTGTGAAAGCAGTGTCCAAAATATGAATTCCCAAATGTCATGTCAGGGAGAAAGAAATTTTCCTGTATCTTTTGTTCTTCTGGCAGGTTTAAGAGTTAAACTGAAGGGGGAGGATATAGCTCAGTGGTAGAGTGCCTGCACAGGGTCCTGGGTTCAATCCCCAGTACCTCCATTATAAACAAACAAACAAATCTAATTACCACCCCCCCCAAATAATTAAATTAACATGAAACACGTTAACAGATATAACACATTAACAGGAGAAAGCAAAAGTTTAATAACATGTATACATGGGAGAGACTCAGGAAAACTGAGTAACTCAACAAAATGACTGAAACCCTCACCTTAAATACCATCTTCAGCTAAAACAAAAGATGTTGGAGGTAAGGTTTGAGACATCAAAGACAGAGCAAGGCAATTCATGTGGAGATGAAGAGCAGATGTTCAGTAAACAAATGTTTGCCGGGCCTTGCAGAGAGGGTGGGACACAGAATGGACTCTGATTTCTAGGCCCTGCCTAATTTCCCCCACCTCACCTAGTCCATATTCTTAGTTCTATTCCAGAACAGGCCCTCTGTAAAAATTCTTTAAGAAGTTGTAGGGGGAAGAAACAAGAAAAACTTCTTGCGTCTTCTGTTTCTTAAAAATTATTAGCCTAAATTAATCCTCATGCAAAAAGACACATTTTGGGGTGGCAAATTTTGCTTTTTTATAGTAGTAAAATCATTAATTTGTACTAGTCTGCTACACAACATGTAAAAATGAAAATTATATCATTTTTTAAAAGATTTAATTTTTTTTTTTTAATTTCAGGGAAATTAGCCACTTCAGAGAGAGGAGAAAGCCTTGCCCTTTAAAAAGTTTGCTTACTAACAGTGCAATTGCAATAGAAGTGAGCTCCTTGGTATTTTAAATGAATGCAGGAACACTTGGTAAACCCTGATTATGTACCAAGCACTGCCCCTTAGTATTTTGATAGGCTGCATAAAGTTACAAGGCGTGGGAAGTTAGCAAAATTGCATTTCTTTCTAAACATTCTACCATTTATATTGATTTTCTCTTAGTTCCAACTAATAAGGCTCTATTTTGTGCATTTCATGGGTTTATTTTCTGAAATACTCCAAGAAGGAAATTTGACTTTAAAAAAATTGCATTGCAAAAGTGTTTCATTTGTTGAACATTTAAGTAAACAGTACTTTCCTTATTTAAGGTAAAAATTGATGCAGGAAAAATGAATATGGAGTGAGAGGATGGCTGTGTTTCAGGTCTCTGTTGAGTCCCTGGGACATGCCCAGCCAAGTGTGGATCCTTGGCTTCACGCAGGAAAGAATTCAAGAGCGAGACACAGTTGAGTAAACGTAGATTTAAAGAGATACATACCCCATAGAGTGCAGGCTGTTTCAGAAGGCAAGAGAAAGGCCACAAAGTGTCAGGGCTGGGTGCTGTAAACGTAGATACACGCTCCATACACAAAGTGCAGACCGTCTTACTCAGAAGGGAGAGTGGCCACGAGGTGTAGGGGTTGTTAGTTTTCATGGGCTCAATAGCTTCATATGTTTACAAGTGGGAGGATTATTCCAACTACTTTGGGTAAGGGGCTGAGATTCCCCTCAGGAATTGGGCCACTGCCCACTTTTTGACCTTTTATGTTTACCAACTTGGAAGGGTCATGGTTCCTGTGGAAGTGTCATTCACCATGCTAAAATATTACAATAAGTGTATAATGAAGCTCAAGGTCTACAAGAAGCCAAGTCTCCTGCCATCTTGAGCCTCAAGGTCTACTGGGAGTTGAATCGTCTACCATTTTAGTGTTAATTGCTGTGTCATTCCTTGAATGGCTGTGCCCTGCCCCCTTCCTTCCTGTCTCAAAATGACTTGTACTATTGCAATATATTTGGAAAATCATTGTTGTAATAAAATGTAAATGATAAACTAATACAGATGTGAAGAAGTATATAAAATTGACAACAATGGGGTATATATGTTTGTTTTCATTTTTCGTCATTAGGTTTAGGACTACATGTACACAATAGTATTATAAAAGCATAAAGTGAAGGCTCAAATTTTCTTGTTCTAAACAATATTGATATTGTAAGTACATGATGTATTTTGATTATCACATAAATCCTAGGTCTTTTAATTTTAGCATCTATATTCTTAAACTTTGAAAGGGAAGTATTAACTTGATTAAAACATTGATAGATGGGGGAGGGTTTATAGCTCAGTGGTAGAGCATATGCTTATTAACATGCACAAGGTCCTGGGTATTGAAAATAAATAAATAAACCTAATTACCTCTCCCCTCACAAAAAACAAACAACAACAACAACAAAAAAGGAAAAAACAGATTTGGTAGATTGTAAAAGGCTTTGAATGCCTGTGTTTGGACTTTTAAGGTGAAAAGATAAATTGGAAAGGGTTCGATCAGACAGGAGGGAAGAGGGCAGGGCACAGCCATTAAAGGAATGACATGGCAATTGAAGACTGAACTCTCAGTAGACCTTGAGGCCCAAGATGGTGGGAGATTTGATTTCCAGTAGATCTTGAGTCTCATTATACATTTATCGTAATATATTAGCATGGTCAGTGACACACCCACAGGCGCCAGTTCCGAGGCTGGCCATAAAAGGTCAATAAGTGGGTGATGGCCTAATTCCTGGGAATCCCAGCTCCTTCCCCAAAGTAGTTGGAACAGTCCTCCCACTTGTAAGCATATGAAACTACCTGCCCATAAATACTAACAACCCCTCACCTCGTTGTCACTCTCTCTTCCCTTCGGAAACTACCTGTACTATGCAGTAAGTATCTACTTTTACTTTAAACACTCGCCCCACACCTCGTGGCCTCTCTGGCCTTCTGAGATGGCCTACACTCTTCCTATGGAGTGTGCATCTCTGAATAAATCTACTTTACCCAGCTAAGGCTCGCTCTTGGATTCTTTTCTGTCTGAAGCCAAGGATCCTCACTTGGTGGGACGCGTCCCAGGGATTCGCCCAAGACCTGGGACACAACTATCCTTTTGTACCCCATTTTTCCTGTATCAATAGGGTTTTTTAAATTCTTAAATTATACAAAGTGATTTTTAAATAGTATTGCAATAAGGTAATTTGTCATTACTTAGTTGTAAATATTTCTTATGATTTGATTTTTAAAGCCACTTACGTGAGCCTTTGGAAGGGTATTTAAATTCTCATCAAAGTTTTATTTAGACTACATGTTTTATGATCTTTCAAAAGTGTGAATCAAATCCTATCATTCCTTGTTCAAGACCCTCTAGTGAAATTCCTCATTATAAAAATCCAGATTCTTTACCCTGCTCTACAAGGTCCTATATATTCTGGTCTTCACCTATCTCTACAATTTCAACTGCCACTCAACCTTATTAACTTCACCGTGGACCTAATTTCTCAAATCTACCAATTTTCTGTCTACCTAAGGGCTTTTGCTTTTCCTCCAGAAATGTTCTTTGCCTTGTATTTTCTTTTCATTTAGGCCTTTGCTTAATGTCACTTGCTCAGAGTTGGGCTTTCTCTAAATATCCATCCTCTACCATTCTCATGACCTTACTCTACTTCATATTTCTTTATTGTCATCTATTACTTATCACTAGCAGACAGTTATTCTATATAGGTGTCTGTTGTTTCCAGTACATTGTTCCTGACCTCAGTGTCTTTTTGGGCACTAGCTACTGGCTGTAGCTTCTGTTTGGACCACTCTTCCCCTGGGCTGTTTGCTGCTTGACATTTGGTTCTCAGCTTAAATGTCTGTCATTTTCTCACATACCTGATTACTCAGTCTGCCTACGCAGTTACTCTCACGTCACTCTATTCTAATATTTTGCAGAGTACTTCTCACACACACTTATTTGCCTCAACTCCTGGAATGTAAATTCCATTATCAACAGGGATCTTGTCTGTCTGGTTCATTGCTGCATAGCACCTAAAAAAGTTCCAGGTACCCAGGAGACATTTAAATGTAGACCCTTACATAAAAGTGAAAGAATGAAACTTTTCACAGCCACTCTGAGGCTGCACGGTGGTAAACGTGTCAGGAGATGCATCAGTGCAACTTGTGTTAAGTGTGGGGTCACATGTTAGATGAGATTTCTGACCTTTGAGAAGCAGATGAAATTGCCTGGAATTCCATCCCATGTGTTTTTGGACAAATCTTCCCCATTCAGTCTCTGAGGAATTAGAAGGGAAGCAATTGTTGGCCCTGAGCTGATCATTGAAATCTGTAGAGCAGATGCTACAAGGAAAAAAGTATACAGAGAAAAGCAACAGATGAAAGATTTTGAGAGATGGGGCACCGCTGAGTTCAAAAGAAGACAAAAAGATTTTCAGTACATTAGGGGAAAATCCTATACAGTCAAGGGGAAAGAAATTTTGGAGTTAGTTTGATGAAGGTCAAAAATTTTAGTAATGTGAGACTGACAGCTATTGTGGTTAATTAGAAAGAGGTAGGATTTAAGAGTAATTATTAGTGGAAATTATAGTTTTCCTTAATACTGAATTAGTTTTCAAAAGACCTGAGTTTGGCTACTGTTTTACCACAAAGTGACTGCAGGCTCTGGGCAAGTCAATTTATCCTCTGTGAGCATCAGTTTTATCACCTGTAATGTAGGAATAAAAACAATTTGCTCTGCTAATCTCAGTGTTATGAGGTTGCCAAAGATGGTTATGAGGGATGTGCATTGTAAACCCTTAAACTTTGTACAAATACAATTATTAAAGTTGTTGGAGTCAGAAATGAAGGAATCAGGTGGTTACATGGCTGGTATAGAATAAATCCTGAAGGTGCGGGGGTAGGAGTAGGGGTGGTGATACAAGAACTTGTTATGGGGGACTGCTGGCAATAAAGAGTGGGATTGAAGGCTGAAGTGAAAACCAGAGACAAGAAAAGTCCAGCTCCTTCCTTTAGGTACTCTAATTACTGGTCTATTGAATTCCTGAACTTTATGTCTTTTCTACTGGCCACTCTGCTCGGTTTATCACTGCACTCAATTCTCCCTTATCTTGAAACAAATTTTTGAACTCTACCATAATCTTATTTTTCTCTCTACCACTCTGCCTACAAATATCCTCTCTTCTGGGTCATTTCCACTCAAAATGTGAACTGCAAGTGGCGGGCAAGTTTGGCAATATTTGTTTCTGACATCTACACCTCGATTCTCGTACATCTTTCCTACCTAGAGGATTATCGGCTGTCAGGATTTAATCACATCAGCCAGAGTGTGAAGGTGCCTTACAAACTGTTACGAGCGCTACTGCACTAGCTCGGCATCATCACCAATTACATAAGGAAACTGAACCCTCCGCGGTAGTCAGGCTCGCTCGGTATCACAGAGCCAGTTAAAAGCTGACTTCTTCAACAGAACCCATTTTTCCCAAGAACGAGGTCGACGCAAAAGCTCACCGTCGCTCAAGTGGGTTCCGACGGAAACCGAACTTCACCAAATCTCGCCCCTCCGGGACTCGGGGGCGTGGTAGGGAGCACGAAGTATCGCGAGATGACGGCGTTTTCCCGCGAAGGAGAAGCGCGCGTTTTTCTCTGGTCGCTCACTTGGCCGGGAGACTGGGACCGGCAGCGGCTGTGAGGAATTAGCGGGTGGTGTTGAGGGACTGAGAGGAGGGTACACGGCTCCGGAGTGTGTGTCCAGCCATGCCAGCGCAGCGGCCCGCGAGTAGCGGCGGTGAGTGGGGAGAACCTGCCTCCGGGCGGCGGCACCCGGGGTGAAGGGGGGTGGCGGGCAGCATGGAGACTGCAGCCGAGTTTTGCCGGGACAGCCGACCCCGGGCAGAGACTGAGGAGGAGTGTAGGGTTACCCACTCTGGGGGGAGTGAGTGGAGGACACCGGGAATTGCACATATGTGCGTGATATAGGAGCTTTTACGCAGGGGAGCCGCATTTTCCCGATCACCCCCATATGTAAACTGGGGTCCGGGCAACTTGTTGACATTGTGAAGACCTAAAATGTCTAGGATGCTGGCGTTCCCGTGGGGCTTCAACTTCTATCTTAAGTACATCTGGGAAGGGGAGGAAGGTTATTTAATTCGGGAGCGGGTACTTGGTCACTTTTTAAAACTGCAGTTTAAAAGCCTCGTCCCCTCCACAGGGTCCCTCGCTCCAGATATGGTTGAACAGTCGAAGACGGCCGTGATTACCCCAGCCATGCTAGAAGAGGAAGAACAGCTTGAGGCTGCTGGGCTGGAGAAAGAGCGGAAGATGCTAGAAAAGGTAATTTAGCAGTCAAGTTCATCCTCGTGAAGTAGTAACCGGGAGCTTCCTTGGAGGCGTGGTCTTGTTCTTCAGTTTACTAGTCTGTTTTTTTTTTTAATGAGCTTTAAAAGGGGCTTCGGTATTTATTTGTATCTTTCCCGATGCTATCTTTGAGAAACCTTTGCACGAGCTTTGAATGATGCTTCTATGAGATAGTCTCGGTCTGTTAACTGGCTTCATCTCTCTTAAGTGAGCGTGGCTTGTTTAGCGCTTATAATTCTTCCAAGGTCGGTAGTGAATACTTTTTGGTGAATTCTTTCAGTGCGGTATTTCCACCTTGCTTTTTTGCTTTCTTTTCCGTTTCGTGGGCAATTGCTAAGTAAGATCCTTTAGGTTAAAATGTGAAGTACTTTTTCAATGAAAAGTTATTTTACTTGTGGTTTTCTTGTACAGATTCTTTTGTAGATTACTAAAATCAGTATTTGACCTCTTAAATTTAATTTTTAAGTTTGTTTTACTCCAGTAATAATGTCTCATCTTATTGCTTGCTTAATTATTGCTCGTGCAAGAATGATACCTGTCAGCTCTTACGTACTGCCTACTAAGTAATTTTCTTGTAATAATTTATTTAGCCCAACCAATACTATGGTTATACCTAAGGTAATTTTGATATCTACACTTACGACGAAACTGAGGCAATGAGGTAGGGGGGGTCACACATTAATGAACTCAAATTTGGCTGTCTCCAGAGTTCTTGTCCTTAACCCTATACTTCTGAGGACATTGATATTGAATTAACTCCATGTAATTACAAAACTACTTAAATTGGGAAATAGTGCACTCCAAAGACATAATGAATTAGTTGGTTCCCTGCTATTTTTTATCAACAGTAATGGTTTTGTTACCATTGTTAATACCTCATGATCATTTATTGTGAGTCAGTCATTGTTCTGAATGCCATGCATGTATTTACTCATGGAATCCTCAACTATTCTATAAAGTAGATACTATTATTAAACTCATTATTATTATTAAACTTACTAGTATTACTTTTATTAAAGTATTCTGTAAAATAGGTTCAATTTTCATTTCATTTTACAGATGAGGAAGCAGGTACCTAGAGGTTGCTTGGGGTCCCACTGCTAGTAAATGGCAGAACACAGATGTTAATGTAGGCCATGTGGTTCCAGAATTCACTTTTTAACCACTTTGCTAAACTTTGACTCCAGTAAATGCTAGTTCTGTTGTTACTGATCATCTGTAGTTGACCATAAGACATTAAGGTAATATTTTAACACTTATTAAGGGACTTGAGAGGTCAACCTTGAACCGCCTGTACTATACTCTGTGAATTCTCATATTATTTTGTTACACAGTATTACTATTAATTACTTGATTCTTTCTCATTTTGTTTCTTGAGGGCACATCACTTAACTGTTCTGGTTTTGTAGGCTGTGCACCTGCAAATAGTAGGCAATGGTGAATGTTGAATTTCTAACCAAGGTAAAAGAATACTTTATAATGTATTACATAACATATGATTATATTAAAAAAATACTTGCTAGCATTGTAACAAGGTGAATTGTAAAGGATGACTCCTGGGTCAAGTGTCCAGAGTATAATCAACTTCAGAGGTTGTAAGAGTGATAAAGCCTTAATTTTGAGTCATGTACTTCACTTTTATAACCCATGAAGGTTGGTAGGTAAGAAAGTACTATTTGAAGAAAGACATGGGATATAATAAGAATACATTTCCAGAATTATTAGTTCAAGTGAAAAAACATTATTTTCACGTTTAAAAAAAAAAACCTCAAAATTTATAGTACCATAAATATTTGCTGATTACACTAGGAGTCAAAGTAACTTCTACTCTGAGTGAAATATTTAAGCTTTTGAACAAGCATTTTGTAATCAGCTCTAAAATTTTTTGCAATTGTTATTAGTGTTGAGGGATAGGTATGGTATAACTAGACTTTCTTTAGAATTTATGCGTCATAGAATTTTAAAAAGCAATTTTTAATCCATTTTTCAATCTTTCCATGAATAAAGTGTATAGCTCTTTCTTTTCAGTCTTACTAACACAAGGGTGTAATTTGCTAAAAACCTAGTAGTATTGTGGTCCATTGTTATTACATGGTCTTTTTAAGTACAGGTATTGAAAGAATTTGATTACTTTTTGTCTTTGGAGCCAAAAAATTCACTTTACAAAAGTAAAGATTCCTTTTATTTTGGAAGAATACAGTGTTTATGGGCATATATTTAAAAGTACTTAAGAGAAGAAGAGCTAGCTTAAGTTCTTAATGAAGAGCATTTGCTTTGCTTTAGGAGGCTTGAAGTTTTGTGAAGAGCCTGGAGAGTGACTTTGACATTCATTTGCTACAGTTATTTTCTTTGACTTTTCACCTGCATTTCCTTTTGAAAGAAGTCATTGTTAATCTAGAAGACTTGAGAGTAGCCTTGATGGCTGTTTAGTGGGGCGGGGGGAGGTAAGAGTTGTGATGTTTCTTGGAGAGAGAAAAGGAAAATGGTTCACATTGTGTAGACTGAAATATAACTCCCCCTGCCAAAAAAGAAAATCTGGGGTTGGTGTTGGGAGAGGTAATGGGGTAGACAGTGGAGAATTTATGCTCTTGGTGATCATTCACATCCTCTCTCATCATCAAGAGAAGCTTCCTGCCAGGCACTTAAGTACTTTCCACAGATGGGGCTACAATTTACCTTAATATAACAACTAATAAAATATAAGTCAAGAAGGAGTAATGACACATGAGAATATTTACTACAAAATTATTTTGAAATACAGAGGACTGGGTTTATAGGTTAACCCTTGGCATAATGTTCTAATTATATTATAAATATTGTTCCATGATTGCACCATAAAGCTTTAATTACTTTAAAAATGCATGCTTATTTATTCTGAACAGATTTAAGGCAGCAGAAATACCTAAATTAAGGACAGAGTATTTTAACTAAAAATATTTTTTAAAGTTAAATTTAAGAATTCATTTGTATAAACTCTTATATAATTTCATTTCCCCATTTATAATATCCATTTCATTTTGTGAAGGAAAAGCCGGGCTGGGCCTACTTGCAAATCTAAGTGTAACAAGTGTCGGATTACTGACCTGAGTTCTGCTGGGCTAACTCGTAAAACTAAGTTAATAAGTGTCGGTTTGCTGATTCTCTGCTCATGTTTTTTGCTACCTAGCCGGATTTTCAGAGAAACATATCTGGCCTTGAAATGTTGGTTTGCTGCCTCCCTGCCTCTACTTTTGTGATAATGATGCTGCTAAAGCTGTTCCATGCCTATTGGCCAAATACCCCAAGCTTGTAATTAACCCTATAAAACCTCATGCACACGTCTTGAAGGTGCTCAGAGCTTCAGAGCAGAAGCCCCTCTGAGCCTGCCGGCGTAATCTGAGTACTCCAACCCTCCAAGTGGTGCTTGTTTCTTGCTGGCCTGTCATTTCCGTAACATTTCAACTGCCTATTGTAATCACAGTAGTATATTGGTAATAGTAAAAGAAAGGCTGTCATAAAAAAAACTGAAAGTAGTTTTATGAGATACGAGCAGATTATCTGCATGGGTAAGATTATGGGTAATTTTTAAAAGAATTTGAATTTTCCTATAATGTGCATGTATTACTTACATTAGATTTATTCTTAGGTGTCTTAAATTGTCACTGCTTTTGTAATAGAAAATAAATTTATTTTGAAAGAAAAGTTAGTGAGATGACATAACATTTGGGAAGTCCAATATACAGTGGTGTCTGATTTACAGAGTCAAGCCATAATCACTAAATTAATACACTCACACACTCTAAATCTCAGGAGTAGAATGCTGGTTAGTAAGATTTGCATATATTCAACTCTCACTTGACTCACTTTGACCACTTAATGCTTTTCTTTTGAGTTCAGATTAGTGTTGGATTGGCACATTATGAACTGAATTTGGCCTGTGCTTTATGTAAATAAAGTTTTATTGGAACACACTTTGCCTATTTGTTTATGTATTGTATATAACTGCTCCTGTGTAAGAAGGCAAATTTAAGAACTGGCAGTACAAACCGTATCATGCTCAAATATTTAAATATTTGCCCTTTGCCCCTTTACAAAAAGTTTGTTGACTATTGAACTATACTGTTTATTTGTTGCTTTTGTTTTCCCTGATGTGCCCTCTGGTATTGTTCTTTTAAAATGTTTAACTTTTATTATGAATTGAGTGAGGGGTCCTCCTCAGCTACTAGACTGTATACTCTTACAAATCAATAGTATGTGTGAGTCATATGGAAAGCAGAGGTTTGTAAATGGAAGGCGTATACAAGTGAAAGATAAAGCGAAGAGTATGAGAGTAAAAGAAAGCTAGAAGGTAAGGGCAAGGCTTGGGCAGCACAATACTAAGGAGGAAAGAAGGCTGTAAGAAATTATCAGTAGGTTTAACATTTGAAATATTTTCACAATATAGTTTTTGAATTCTAAAAATAGATATTCTAGCCCCTAGCCAGTGAAATTATCTTTTAATTCCAATGCTCTTTCAGATAAAACTGGTATATAAAGTTTTTCTTTTCTGAAATCATTTGGTTGTTTTAAAACTTAAATTTAACTTGATTTAAATATTTACTTTCTAACTTTTATTTCAAATATTTTGAAAATGTGCCTTTAACTCTCAAATTTCAATATTTTGGTATCTGTGCTGTATCTTACCGGATTGCCTGTTGAACCCCCAGAATCATATTTGCTATTTGAGTTTTTTGTTTGGAAGATAAACCAGTTTTAATTTTTAGTAAATGAATTTAATATTGTAAAAATAATTTCATTAATTACAGGGTACATATTAAACCTAAAGAGCATTTGTTTAGCCATGTTTGTTATACCTTATGCAAAAAAAATCAATGTATGTCAGAAAACTTTAATAATTTTGGAAACTTTCTCTTTGGATAGGCTCGCATGTCTTGGGATAGAGAGTCAATGGACATTCGATATCGTAGACTTCAACATTTGCTTGAAAAAAGCAATATCTACTCCAAATTTTTATTGACTAAAATGGAACAGCAACAATTAGAGGTATGTGATTGATTACAGCTATCATAGCTTGCATTTTTTATAAAACAGCTTTATTGACATACAAATTACATACAATTAAACGCACGTATTTTAAGGTTAGAGTTGGATGAGTTTTGACCTGTGTAACCACCAGCACAGTCAAGGTAAAGAACATTTCTATATCACTCTGAAAAGTTCCCTTTTCAGTGATCTTCACACCTAGCCCCGGAAAACCACTGATTTCTGTCACTATAGATTAATTTTCTAAAATATTACATAAATGGAATCGTATGATAAGCACTTTTTGTGTCTCGCTTCTTTTGCTCAGCATATTTTGAGACTCACTTACGTGTGTTTATTTAGTAGATCATTTTTATTCCTGAGAAGCATTCCACTGTATGAATATATCAGTGTTTATTTTTCTAGTCACCTGTTGACTCATTTTCATCCTGTCCAGTGGTGTTTTTTGGATGCTAGGAATTGTGAATTTTACATTGCTCAGTCCCCTTTTAAAGAATTGCTTTATTAAAGTATAATTGATATACATAAAACTGTACATATTTAAAATGTATACCCATGAAGCCACCACAATCAGGATAATGACCATAACCATCAATTCCAAAAAATTCTTCCTGTCCCCCCTTTTAAATGAGATATTATTGACACATAACACTATTTTAGTTTCATGTGTACAATATGATTCAATATTTGTATAAGTTATAAAATGATCACCACAGTAAGTATAGTTAACATTGTCACTACACATAGTTCAAAAAAAAATTTTTTTTCTTAAGATGGGGACTTCTAAGATTTTACTCTCTTAGCAATTTTCAAATATGCAATACAGTATTATTAAATATGGTCACCATGTTGAATAGTATGTCCTGATGACTTTAGTTTATAACTGGAAATCTGTACCCTTTGACTACCGCCCCAACCACAGATCTGTTCTCTGAATCTATGAGCTCTTTTTTTTTCTTTAAAGATTCCATATATGAGTGAGATGTGGTATTTGACTTCCCTTGTCTGACATATTTCACTTAGCATAATACCCTCAAGGTCCGCCCATATTTTTACAAATGGCAAGATTACTTATGGCTAAATTTCTGCCCGTTTTTAATTCTCTTCCATCCCTCACTTCCTGTCTTTTCTCATATCCTGTCTTCATCACCGGATAGCTACTGGTCTCCTTTCTGTAATTAAAGATTTGTTTGCATTTTCTGTTGGTGGAAGGTTCTTTCAGCTTTTGTATGTCTGGAAAAGTCTTCATTTACCTTCATTTTTGAAAGATTTTCTCCTGGGTAGAGAATTTATTGATTTTCTTATTGCTTCCTCCCTCCCCCATGCAGTATTTTAATGATGTTTTACTGCCTTCCAGCTTATGTTGTTTCTGACAAAGGCAAAGTCCTCTTGATGCTCTACAAGACTGTAAGAGTCTGGTTGCCTCTCTCAACCCCATTACCTTTCAGACCTTGTTCTGGGTGTGTTCCCTGCCTTTTGGGCCATTTTGCACTGGCTGTTTTCTTCTTGGAACCCTCCTCTCAATAGCTATCTGCCTGGCTTACTTCATCATCATCTTCAAGCTTTGGCTTAAAATTTTTCTCAGTGAGGCCTGCCCTGACAACCTTAGTTACCTGGCACCTCCAGCCTCACACTTCTGATCCCTTTTACCTTGCTCAGTTCTCCCCATTGCATTTATCACCTAAGACTGTATAATTTATTTATAGTCTGCTAGATTGTAGGAAGATTTGCTCAGTTAAGAGGCCTTTCCATTTTGGCTGACAGGAATGTTAACTGTTCTTGATCCCTTGTGAGCACAGGGATTGTTCATCTGCTTTCTTGTTGTTCTGTTCATGGCCGTGGTTTTCTCCTTCCACTCAAACTTATCAGTACTCAACCTGAGGACGCCACTACAGATCTTCAGCAGTTCTTCTGTGTGCAGCTCTCTCCTCTTTGGAATTTGACCCTGGTTTGCTAGCTCCTCTGAGTTCTGCACACTATCTCCCTGACGCAGGGAGACTGTTGAGCTTTATTTGGGTTCTCCCTCCTTTATGTGCACTTGGAAATTGTCTCCAGGCAGTAAGCGGGACAATCAGAAGATTCACCTCATTGTTTCCCTTCTGTCAGTGTTTACTATTCTTTGCTGCATGTTGTCTCAAAGATATATTTTATCTAGATTTTAGTTGCTTAAGGCAGGATGATCAATCTGCTTTCTGTTAGTCCGTAAAGGTTTGAAGTGCAAATTCTTCCTCGTTTTTAAATTTTTATGGTTTCTTCATTGCGAACTTAAGTTATTTGAGATGTGCTTTTCATACTTTGCATTTTCTATTTGTGATATTAAGAAGAAATTATCTTAACAGGAACAGAAGAAGAAAGAGAAATTGGAGAGAAAAAAGGAATCTTTAAAAGTTACTAAGGTAATATATAGTAAGCTAGAATATTTTGTATACATACATTACCTTAAATATTGAAGATATTCTTTTGAATTCTTTTGACTATTGATTATCTATTTAATTTTAACCTTTATCTGACAACCTATCTTTGTTGACTGTTCCTATGCAAATCTATAAAATCTATTTCTCAGTATTTTAGATATGGGAGAAGAGCTAAACTATGACCCCTTCAATTTCTTATCCTGTGGACTATTTTTCATAATAGTAAAGTTTTACTTTCTTACCTGGGAAAAATCTGCAAATATTTTACACCTCAAGGCATTTTATAAGTGGCCAGCTCTTTTGGAGCCTGTAATGATTACTCTTCTTTATGCCTCCAACCTTATCACGTCATCTTGTAGCCTTAACAATAATCTCAATTTGTATCTGCAGCAGTGGAACCAAAATTAAAACAGATAATACATATGATAATAGCAGCTCAGATAGAACATTCACTAGGGATAGTGAATTGTAGATGTGATCTTCTTTGGGAATATATTTTAACATGAGGCTGTTTAATGCCATATTGGTAAGGATTGTACAAACAACACTGGTGCTAGTAATAAGAGAAATAAGAAAGGTAACATTTATTGAGTACTTACTATGTGTCAGGGATTGTTCTAAGCTTTACATGTTTTTAACTAATTCTCAAAGCAGCTCTGTTAAGTAGGAATACTGTTATTATCACCATTTACATACAAATAAGCTAATGCAAGGAGATAAAGTGCAGTCCATCCTCCTTATTTATAGATTCTGTTTTTGCCAATTAGCCTACTTGCTAAAATTTATTTGTAACCCCAAAATCAATAGTTGTGTTTTTGTGGTCATTTACAGACATGTGCATGTGCACAATGGCAAAAAATTTGAGTCTCCCAATATGCACATTCCCAGCTGAGGTCAGACAAGGCAGTCTGTCTTATTTATCACACTATAAACAAGAGTCTTTTTCATGGCCTATTTAATGCCATGATTTTTGCATTTTTGTGGTTTTGGTGATTTGCTGTTGAAAAGGACTGTCAGCCACATTGTGCTGAACTACTGTCTAGTGTTTCTAATGCAGGAAGGCTGTGATGTGCCTCATGAAGAAAATATGTGTGTTAGATATGCTTCCTTCAGGTATGAGTTACAGTGCTGTTGGCCCTGAGTTCAGTGTTAATCCGCATATATTTTAAGTGAGATGTTTTTAAACAATAACACACATAAAACAGGGTTATGTATTGATCAGTTGTTGAAGGTGTGACCATTGGCTTGCAGGAACTTAAACTTGTATTTCTTCTAGATGCACTGACTCAGTGTTCACTAATTCAGGGGTCACAGTGACTTTATAGAATACAACTTTATAGATTCATAATCGTGAATGAGAAAGGTCACATATCTAATAAATAGTAATGCCAGGATTTGAACCCAGGATTAGTTTCAGATCCCATACTTGTATACTAAACTGCCTTTATTAGAAAATATCAAAATGTCAATAGGAAAAATAGGTAGGATATCTTTTAAGTCCAGTTACTTGATTCTTAGTGTGGTTAGTGGTGATATTTAAGTACCTAATAACTTTGCAAAAAAAAGCAGTTATTGAAAACTGATGTTTGACTAAGCTGCGAATTCGAGGGACTTATTTTGGGTTTTTGAAGAACATACCTACTTAAAGATAATTTTCCTGGCTTAAGCATTTACTCACTATACTTCAACCTTTGGACTTAGTCCAGCTAACTTTACTTTCACCCAGCTAACTTTTTATACCAGGTTTTGGTTTTTTCCTCTTTGTTCTAAAAAATGTTAAATATTGCCTACTCCATTTCCCTGGTCTCTTTTGGTTGTTTTTTTTTTGTTTTTTTTTTTTTTTTTTTTTGAGGAGGGGGTTGAATTAGGTTTATTTATTTATTTTTGGAGGAGGTATGGGGGACTGAACCCAGGACCGTATGCATGCTAAGCATGCACTCTACCACTTGAGCTATACTCACCCCTCCTGGTAGTTTCTTTTTTAATCCTTTAAATTTTTTACTTTATTTTAAAATTTACCTTATTTTTTCATTGTTTTGATTTTTCATACATGTTGTCTACTTTTTCTTTTCCAGCTTTCGTTTAGAAACTTTATTTTTGGACATCTCTTTCTTTCCCTTAACTCCCCTCACTAATATTTTTTCAGTTAGTATTCTCTTTTATGTTTGTTTTCAGTTGTATTTAACTTATAAGTTGTACTGAAAATGAGTACTCCTTTCATACCATGCCCAATGAATATCTTCAGCATAAACATACAGTTAGAGAAGATATACATGGAAATTTCAAAATAAAAATACCTTCTCTGTTTAATTTTGAAGTTTCTCTTACATGGAAGAAAACTGAGGAAGTAGGGTCTTTGGGAGAGAGATGTGGTTACAAACAAGTTATAGTAGGGAAATACAGAAAAAGGTTACATATTGGTAAATATAATAGTGAAGAGTTGTGGATTTGGTGCAACTTCAAAGAACATTTACCTAATCAATGCCTTTGAACATGTAATACCATAGAAGTCTTTAAGGAAATAATAGTCTAAATCCTTGTTTTGTAGGGTAAAAATTCCATGGGTGTAAGTGAGGAGAATACAGGTAAATTTCCTTTTCTAGTTTTGAAGAATATATGTTAATATTTTTGCTTTAATTACTATCAAAAATAAAATGGTCTTTTTTTATAGTTATGAGAAAGAAAAGAGGAAGAGAAGATGAATCATACAATATTTCAGAGGTCATGTCAAAAGAGGTAAAAATAAAGGGGGAAGGGCACATAAGATTTGATGTTGAGTAAAACCTACTGTGGGTTTTGAACCACATTAAAGCTGTATTGATTACTGTTGCTTCACCTGGCTTTTCAGCCAGATAAGTGTTTTAGGGAAGAAGATGGCACCGTCTTCCTGTTTGTTAAAGAAGCATGAGCTTGGCCTAATCAGAAATGATTATAACTCTTTGTAACCTCAAAACCATATCTTAAGAACTTTGTTCCTTGTTTGAAGACCATTAAGAAACTAAAATCATAAATTCATTTCTAAAACCAGATCCTTTTTTCACCTTATTGGTGCCTTATTAAATAGAAATTAATTAAAGAGCATCTTCAATTATGATAGACCCTAAATATTCTTTAGTCATAATTTAACGTCTTATTCTTATATTTTAAATAATTTTAAACTTTTTACCTGCTACATTTTTCTTTTACCTGAAACTCAAACTCTTTTCATCTTTATAAAGTATAAAATATATTGGCTTTACTGTAGAGATATACTTTGATATTTTCCCTTTTTTTTCCATTTAAAAATAATAGTTAGGACCCACTTAATTTATTATGGAGTACACTCAGCCTGCAGTTTGGAAAACACTATTAATGACATGTATTGAAGTTTAGCTAAGCACATAGCTGTTATTTTACTTATTTATTTTTCGTTTTTCATTGACATGTAGTGATTTACAATGTTTGTTTCAGGGGTGTAGCAAAGCAGTTCAGTAATATATCTATATATACACACACATTTTCAAATTCTTTTCCATTATAGCTTATTGTAAGAAATTGAATATAGTTCCCTGTGCTATAAAATAGGTCCTTGTTTTATATACTATTTTATATAGTAGTATGTATCTGTTACATAGCTGTTATTTTAATTGATCAAATGTGTGTGGCATATCTGCTATGGGCAAACTTTTCTAAGTTGATGAGATCGATTAGTAAAGAAAGGGAATCACTGTCTTTGCCTTAAGCTATATCCAGTGAGAACTATTTAGAAGTAAGTAGTCAAATATAATTGGAAAACTGAATGCTTTTGAGTATAGAAAGAGAAGGCTCTTAACTCAGGCATGAGGTTCATAAAAAGTTTCATCGAGGAAGATGAGACATGAGGGATAAAAGTTAAATCATTTAAAAGTGAGGGTGGGTTAACAGAGAAATAGTAAGCTACAGGGAAGATAACGGGGAAGTGTTCTAGGAAGAGAGAACTTTTGACAAATGTCCAGAGGCAGGAAAGATCCCCGCAAATTCAAAAAACTTAAATTTGGCTCCAGTTTGTAAACGAAAGAGTGGTGAAGGATGTGGAGGTAAGCAGGTTCAGGAGTTTAGAAGGTTTAATTTTTAAAAAGAATACTTCATAGTTGGTATTGTTTGTTTGATTCATTCACAAATTGTTCTCCAAAAAGATTCAGCTTATCTGATCATTTTAAATGACGACTCTTCTATCCATTCTTTATATAAAATACCTTCAACCTCAGAATATGAATGTCTATACTTATATACTTTACATGTACATATGAAACATTATACTGTATATATTTATGTGGCTGTCAGCCACTTACACATCTTGTCATTCATCTGTGTATCTCAAATTTGAGATATGCTTAAAGTTTCTTGAATGTATCAACTATTTCATACCCCTTGTCCTCTGCACATGCTGTTCTTTCTGCTTGAAATGTCCCCTACCTAACTTTGTCTTTAATGATTATGCCCTGATTATAACTTTTCCTGATAATTTGATGTCATATAATACCCTCCTAAGTTACCAGGGACACTCATATATTGCTTGTCTCCTTTCCCTTAGCATTTAGTAAGTAATTGAGAATCAGAACACTTTTATTCTGTTTTTAATGTGTTTGCAATTCTGAGCAAGACGCAAAGACAAACTCAGATGTCTCTCCAGAGGCCTAAAGTGGGCTGAAGTTGGGACTGTAATATTTGGGAGTAAATCCTTGAATGATGGGAGTAACCACAACTTGACTTTAGAACTTTTTCTGTAAACGTTTTTTGACTTTGAGTAGTTTTGTGGATAACTAACCAACCCTGAACTTTGCAGCCATAGACAAACTGAACAAAAGAGCCTGACTTTGTTCTAAATTAAACTATTTAGTTATTTATATATATAGGTTGCCAGCTGGAGTTGGTCCACAGGCTATAGTTTGCTAACCTCTGTACTGGAGGACTGTGTGAATTTGGATTTATTCAGATAAACTTCAATTTAAAAAAAAATGGAAAATACAGGAGTAAATATCCCAATTTTTAAGTGCTGCTAATGTATTTAGAATTTCATAGACACTGTAGGCTTAATTTTGTCTGAGGTCCACCAGTTTTATTCCTTTATATTTTAATTGCCTTGAGAGCCTTATTCCCATTTCCTAGCATGAAATCAGAACAAGAGTAAGTGTTTGTTGAATAGATAAATGAGTGAACTACATACATTGTTACTTTGTTTTTGTTTTCTCAATGATCTAGGAAATTTTATCTGTGGCTAAGAAAAGTAAAAAGGAGAATGAGGTAAGAAATTTATAATAGATATTAAATTTAGGAGTCATAATTTGCTTCCCTGATCATTAGGCTCTTTTCTTTTTATCACCAGTGTACATTTTTTTCTCACTAGTTATCCTGTATCTTAGCTTTAAAAAAATATACCCATTTGCTTTTTTATCTTAACATGCTTCTTTCTTATATATCATGTTCTACTTCATGTTCTTAATGTGTGAATATTAATTTTGGGTCTTTGGGATCTAGCAATTATGCAAGTAACTGTAACCATATGGATATATACACTCCACATGTATATATTCCATAGTATGTGGAAACCCTGGGGAGTACTTCAATCTTGTTCCTGGCCTTAAAAGATTTTCTTTGGCTCTGTTTGGGAAGGCTTGATCAAGACTTGGTATTCCCCTGCCAGCCCCATTTTATGTAGAGAGGTTTCTAGTTATCTGAGTATTATCCAAGACCCTACAATTATAAGATTTATTCTTTATTCAGTATAAGGTTTATGATGCAGTTATAACCCAGCCATGTTAAATGTAAATAAGATTAAGTAAGCATATTTTAATAAATAATTTAGTTGCATTTTTAAAGATAAAATCCAATCTACTACCACAATTTACTGTGGAATTGACCACATTGTAAAATATACAATAAATAAACATACTGATCTTGTGTTCATTCTGATGAATTTTGACAAATGTATATATACATCTGTGTAACCACCATCCAAATCAGTTTTTCATTATGGTAGAAGGATCCCTTGTATCCCTTTCCAGTCACTTCCTCACCCTAAACCAAAAGGTAACTGCTTTTTTGACTTCTACCACAGACTGGTTTTGCCTGATTTTTTTTCTTAAACTTCCATCATAATCTAGTTTTCTTTCTTTCTTTCTTTCTTTTTTTAGGGGAAGAGGTACCTAGGTTTATTTATTTACTTATTTTTTTTAAGTGGAGTTACTGGGGATTGAACCTAGGACCTTGTGCATGCTAGGCAGGCACTCTACCACTGAGCTATCTCCTCCCCCTCACAATCTAGTTTTCATACAAATGAAGTATAAATATGTATTCTCTTATTTCGTGCTACTTTCCAGTCAGCGTTGTTGATAATCATTTATGTTATTAAGTTTATTACTAGTTGGTTTCTTTTTATTACTGAGGAGTATTCCATTGAATATTATAATTTCTTTATCCATTCTCTTCGTGGGCATTTGGATTATTTCCAGTTTGTGACAATGAATGAAGTTGTTAGGATAATTTGTGTAAAAGATCTTTATGTGGATGTGTTTTCATATTTCATATTTTCATGTTTGGATATACCTGGGAATAGAATTGCTGGGTCATATGGTAAATGTAGTTAAACTACTTTATAAGAAAGTTCAAATCTTTTTAAAAAGTGAACACACCATTTTACTCTGACAGTGTATAAAGGTTTCAGTTCATATTATTGCCGGCATTTCATGTTGTTAGTCTTTTTTAATTTTAACCATAATATGTAATACGAAATGAATCCTGTGTGGTTTTATTTTGTATTTTCTTAAATACTAATGTAGAGTTTGTTTTCATGTTTGTAATGGCTATTTGTATGTTTTGCAAAGTTTCTGTTCATAATTTTGCCCAGTTATTGGGTTGTCTTTTTGTTGATATATGAGTTTTTTAATCTTATCAGTGTCAGATCTGTGTACTGTATTTTCTTTCAGTTTGTGTCCTGCCTACTCATTTTCTTAATTGTATCTTTTAATAAGCAGAAAATTTTAAATTTTGTAATTGCCCAATTTAGTACTTTTTCTTTTGGTGGTTAGTGCTTTTTTTGTCTTTTATAGATATTTGTCTATCTCAAGGTTATCAAGATATTCCGTTTTCTTCTAAAAACTTTATGGTTCAGGGTTTGATGTTTAGGTATATGATTTCATCACAAATTTTATGTATGGAATGGTAAAACTCAAGTTTCATATTTTTCCAGTTGAATATTCAGTTGTGGCATCATTTATAAGACTTCCCTTTGAACTGACTTAATTCTTGTTTTATTACATTCTTAAAATGGAATTGTGGATATAGCTCACCAGTAAAATCTGTCATTGGTCATAAGTTGGTGCTTTGTCAACAAACATAAACTGACACTCTTATGTTTGATGTAGTGAGTTTTTAAACTGTATTTACTTTGCCCCTTTCTCTGTAGTCAAAGTAATTACTTAGGTGGAAGTAAATGTTTATATGTTCCTTGAAAATAATTTTTTTAATAGCATTATCTGTTACCTTTGCTATGGGTGAAGGAAATTATTAAGAAGACAGTTTTTTCTTGGGTAAATTCCTGGGTAAATTTGAAATGGATGTACATTTGTAAAGGTCATTTCAAAAGTGTGCACCTATTATTTGTAAGAGTTATTTTCAGAAAAAATTTTTTTTTCAGTGGCTTTGCATTTGTTGGGGAATGGAAGTAACTTTGGGGTTTCAGTCAACATAATGGTTTTTTTTCTTATTACTCAGTGATTATAGGATTGAACAATTTGATTAGTAGTTACATTTTCTGATTAATGGAGGGTAGTAGCATTATTACATATTAAACTTCTAATCAAACTTTTTTCTTTACAGAATGAAAGCTCCTCTTCTAATCTCTGTGTAGAAGATCTTCAGAAAAACAAGGATTCAAATAGCATAATTAAAGATAGATTATCTCAAACGGTTAGGCAAAATACTAAATTCTTTTTTGACCCAGTTCGGAAATGTAATGGACAGCCAGTACCCTTTCAGCAACCAAAACACTTCACGGGAGGAGTGATGCGATGGTACCAAGTGGAAGGCATGGAATGGCTCAGGGTAATGAATCCCCAGTTTTAAATAAGACATTGGTTCACTTCTATGTAATAACCTATTAGTATAATACAACTTGAGTTATTCCTTTCATGTTTCACTATTATATATAAAACAAACATCTCTGTGTAAATATTTATTTTCTGATTTATTTCCCCAGAGTAAATTTTCAGAAGTGAAAAATTATGTTATTCAAGGCTACCAACATTTTTATGGCTTTGATAACCAACTTCCCATGTTAATATGACTTAAACTGACTATATCAGTCTCATCATAAGTAAAAGAAAGAATCTTGCTAATTTGACAGGTGTTTATATTAACATTTAAATACAGTGTATATTATTTTGTCCAGATGCTTTGGGAAAATGGAATTAATGGCATTTTAGCAGATGAAATGGGATTGGGAAAGACAGTTCAGTGCATTGCTACAATTGCACTGATGATTCAGAGAGGAGTACCTGGACCATTCCTCGTCTGTGGCCCTTTATCTACACTTCCTAACTGGATGGCTGAATTCCAAAGATTTACACCAGAAGTAAGAAGTTTCCTTTTCTTAAATATATTATCATTATGAATTTTTGTTTTGTTACCTGAATTATAGATTTCTTACTATAATTATATTGATTTCTGTTTAAGCACTGAATCTTATATGACTTACCTTTCAATCTCAGCAATACCTACTTTTATATAGAAGAATGGGTGTCAGTTATCTTGGACATCTTGCCAAGAATATCCCTGGATGACTTTTATTTAGTGCATTGAAAAATTTGATTCACCTGAGACAGACCTAGGTAGAATTTATTTTTTAATTCTGTTCATCCTTATAATGGTGTTTTCCTTCCATATATATGTGTTTTAGCCACATCCTTGCCTTATGAGAAATACATATTCCAGAAATAACTTTTCCATCTTCCTTACGTGTACTTAATTTGTTTTTATGACTTTTTTATTCTCCTATAGTAGCCGAATAATTTATTAGAATTGATTGACTCATTTTGTTACAGAAAAATGGAACTAAGCTTGGGTTAAATTATATTTTTTTCTCTCAGAAATGATTAATTTTATATTTTCCATATCGTTGTTATTTACATTTTTCTCTAAAGTTTGTTACAAATTAATATAAAATCTTTTATTAGATTCCTACTATGTTATATCATGGGGCCCAGCAAGAACGTCGAAAATTGGTAAAGCATATTCACAAACGGAAAGGGACTCTGCAGATTCATCCTGTTGTGATCACTTCATTTGAAATAGCCATGAGAGACCGAAATGCATTACAGGTACAAATGGTCTTCATTTGATTCTTTGTAATCCGTAAATCACATTTTTCTTAATTCATAACTCTTTCTAACCATCCAGTAGCATTTGTTGAATTTTTTTTTCAGGTGGAAGCAATAGATTGTATTGTGCATATTCTTTTAGAAACTGGAGGTTTATATTAACAGATTGAGATGAAGATTGTAGTCTCTAACAAGAAAATTAAAGCCTTTGTCACTGTCTATATACATAACACCGTTTTAAATGTGTTAGAATCAGCCAAACATAGACTTAATCTGTGAATGTATTACAGATAATCTCTGACATATTCTTTTCATATATAGAACTTACTTATCTGTTTAATTTTAATTGATAGAATATATGAAGAAGTTATGTTTTTGCTATCTTATGAATCTACTAGGATGTAACATTTCCATATCTGTTTTTTGTATTGTAACTACTTATTTATTAGTGCCCAAATTACAATGCAGTTGGAAAACTGACCTCTCATTGCCTCTATCAGTTTAGTTTTTGGTGGTTTGAACTTCTTCCTCACTGCTTCACCTACTTCACATACAGTTTTTTACTGCTTTATTTTTCTCTCTGACCCGTACAGTTGAATGTTGAACAACATGGGTTGGGGTGTCAACCTTATGTACAGTTTAAAATCTGCATATATTTTATAGCTGGCCCTCCATATCCACAATTTCCAGATCTATGGATTCAACCACTCGTGAATCATGTTGTACGATAGATAGTTTTCACTGTTGAAAAATATATGCACGTAAGTGGCCGCATACAGTTCAAACCTTGTGTTAAGAGGCAGCTGTACATCAAATTTTACTTGTGTGGTGGTAGAATTTTGGAATATGATTTGCAGTTATTTCTTCACAGTAAAGTAATAGATACTACTTGTAGAAAAAAGTAGCTTACAGAAATACTTAAAAGTATTTGTAATTCTACCTGAGAATAACTATTGTTAGCATATAGGTATAATGTATGCATAGGGTAAGACTTTACCTTGTTTATTAAAACACTGTTTTCTACTAAATAATAAAACATGAAGACCTTTCTAATATTTTGCTTTCCATCCCCAGCCCATATTGAAACAAACTTTTTTGTCAGTTACATTTATAAGTGGCTAGAATTTCTGTAATGTTCCCTTTCATTGAGCTTATATTATTTCAAGGATCCTAGCTTTAGGGGTTGATGGCATTTGGGGTGCAGGATTCCTATTCCTGAATGGGAGCAGAAGTATCTGAGTCTATTTACTATTTCATTTTTCAAATTCCTTATTGCTGTTCCATTGGATCTTCTCTTTTGCCTATTCATTTATGAAAGGTGTTTTATATTTTGTTTGGTTTTTTAATGTAGATGTCCTATTGGGAGAAATTACTCAAGCTGTTTGATTTGTTTGCCGTATTATCTGAAAAAGAAGTTCCAAGTTTTTTTTAATTAAAGAAGTCATAACATTATTTTAAAAATTTCTCTTTTCCATTCAGCTATGAATATATAACATAAATTGTCAAAGATGGCCCCGTTTCATACTCTTCCCCCAATTTACCAATCCTGTTATCCAAGGATACCTTCTCTTTCCAGTTTGGTATTTATATTCCCCAGAAATAGTACATATTTCTCTTTTTTTACACTATAAGCTAGATCAACTTTAAGCTTGCCTGATCGAAATAAAAGAGCACAGAGATTAAAATGAGAAGTTAAAACAATTTTCATGGCAGTAAATGGATGGCTCTCTTCAAAAATGTAAATTATTAAAATTAGCTCCAGAAGAAAGGGAAACCTAAACAACCAATAACTATGTAAGAAGTTGAAAACACCATCAGATTAAAGAGTGTCAGTCTCAGATGGGGCCTCGAGTGAAAATTCTAATGCTATTTAATGTTTCAGAATATATAGAACTATATTAGTATTTCAGTTATTTTTTAGGACTCTAGGATAACACTAATACTTGACAAGGCATTAGAAAGGAGAACTACAGACTGCTTTGATTAAAGAATGTGAATGGTGAAATCTTAAATACATAAGACTGGGTAGACTTTAATTATTAGTTTAGGGCCAAGTGAGGTCTATTTCAAGAACATAAGTGCATACTAATTTTAGGAAATTAGTTTATTCTTTTAGTAGATCAGAGGAAAACATCATCTCAATAGGGGCAGAAATACCATTTGATAAAAATGGACATACATTCCTAGTAAAGAGATTTTATTTTTAGGAAAAATTGTGGGAGCATCATATAAAAATATTTCCATGAATTCCTTTTCTAGCATTGCTATTGGAAATACTTAATAGTAGATGAAGGACACAGGATTAAGAACATGAAGTGCCGTCTGATCAGGGAGTTGAAACGATTCAATGCGGATAACAAACTTCTTTTGACTGGTACTCCTCTACAAAACAATTTATCAGAGCTTTGGTCATTACTAAACTTTTTGTTGCCAGATGTCTTTGATGACTTGAAAAGGTGCGTAAGCCAGTTATTTAATTATTTTCTGTGGTTTTCTAACCTTCTCAAAATCTGCTCATAGTTAAAATTAATTTCTTCTAGGTACCTGGATTAAAATGATAGCTTTTGGCAACTTTGTGGTATATATTATATGTTCTGTTCTTTTTATTTTTCTTTTTTCCAGTTTTATTGAAAAAGAATTGACATATATAAACTGTATAAATTTAAGGTGTACAGCATGATTGATTTACATATATTGTGAAGTGATTACTATAGTATGTTTTGTTAAATCTATCTCAAATAGATGCAATAAAAAGAAAAAACTTACCTTCTTGTGGTGAGAACACTTAGGATCTACTCTTTTAACAACCCTCCTATATATCATAAGCAGTGTTAACTATAGTCATCATGTTGTACATTACATCCCTAGTGTTTATTATCTTGTAATTGGAAGTTTGTACCTTTTAACCACCTCCCAGTTCCCCTTGCCTGTATATGTTCTAGTCCTGACACAAATTATTAAAGGAGATAAATGAAAGATTATTACAAGTTCTTATTTGTGTTAATTAAAGAAAAACTGTTGAATGCTACCTTCAAATATTTTTATGTAGCTCTAACTTTGTGAAACAGTTTCAGTTGGAATTTTCTCATTTTATTCCCACAAGCAAGAGATAAAAGATGTTGAATGTATCCCATCTCAAACATAAGAAAACACAGTGTAAAGTTATTAAAAATATAACTAGTTAATGTCAGAGTCAAAAATACAACCAGGGTCTCCCAGTTTCACCCTGATGCTTTTTATTCTAGAAACTGTTTGAATCTTAGCTTATATCATAAAAACCAAAATAGAAAAATAGTTTTTGAAAATTATTAGTATGCTCAGAATGGAAGAGTAAATAATCTTACCAGAAATTAAAAATAATTATGACAGAAATATCAGAATCAGGAGGGCAAAATAATTGCTTATACTTAATTTGGCATCAGTGACAGAAGAAAGTTAATTTTATATAGGAAAATATCTTTTTAAACTGTTTTGTTTTGAAAATGTTTTCTACCTCTGGTTACCAAAGTTAGCCCAAGCCAGGCTGTTTTAGGGAATATTTATTGAAAGACAAGATTTCCAGGTCCTGTGCATTTCTGCTGAGTTAGAACACTGAGGTAGGAGCTGAGAATCTGAATTTACAAAATGTGCCTCAGGTGATCAGAGTTTGGGAATATCTGGTCTAACTACCTCATTAATGTTACTAGTATTTTTCCCAATTGAATTTCTGGCAATAAAGTGTTACTTATTATAGACTGTAAGACATGCTTGTATTTAATCGCTCGTTTTAATAGGTGTGGGGTTTTGTTGTTTTTTACATTGTGAAGAACTAAGGATATTAACAGATATCATTATTGGGTTACTTATATGTTGAATTTTAAAAACGTTGATTGTAGTGGGTCATATTTTTACCTAACGAGAGAGATCATATGGCCTTGGCTTTCACAGTTTTCATTTCTGTAACTTTAGTAAAATGTTTCATAGAATATGTACCTTAAGATGTAAGGTCGATCTGGCTGTGAAATCTGTCACCCCATTGATTGGCAGAGTTGATTCAGCTGATGTGGCTGGCTAGTTGGGTATCCCTTTCCTCCCATGGTACATGTGCATCCTTCCTGAAGCTTCACGCTTGGTGTAAGAGGGTGATCTTTACTGATAGAGGAGGACCCTTCTTCAGTTGAGGGTATACAAGAAGTAGCACTCCCCTGTTAGAACCTCCAGATAAGCTCTCAAGGGTCCATCTGTAGGAGAACCTAGGTTAGTTAAGCTTCCAAGACTCCAGACAGGTCCAGATGAGGTGCTGCAGGTGGCAGTCTGCCCTTAAAAAAGAAAAAAATGTACCTTAATGTTTATTTGCTGTTCATTCTACTTTAAGATAATGTATTTATGAATCAGGAAAAATGTTTCCTTTAAGAAAATAATCTGCTTCATAATATACAGGTTAATATAAAGTTAAAAATGCAAAACATGTCATTATAACTGACTTACGTGATAGGTTAACTTGTAATACTTTTTTTCTCTTACAGCTTTGAATCTTGGTTTGATATCACTAGTCTTTCTGAAACTGCTGAAGATATTATTGCTAAAGAAAGAGAACAGAATGTACTGCACATGCTGCACCAGGTTTTAACATTTTTCTTACTCTGCTTAGTATAGACTCATAAATAAAAAAGGAACCCTGGAGATTACCTGTTCAACCCATTGTAGGAGATTTTGAAAAATGAGCCACCCCCTCCAATTTAAATTATTCCCTTGCCTTTTACCCACCCCCAAAGGTCAAATGGCTTTACAGCAGAACTAAAGTGCTTTTCAAAATTTTGACCTTTTTGTGTATACTTATTTTACGACGAATGGTTACTGACATGTTTATTAGCCAGAAATGAAAATAAGTGGTTTTTTATGCAATGTTTGCCAGTAGTGGTTACATAACTTACTTATTTGTATGATCCAGTCTGCTGTTTCCTGCAATCTCCATCCATCCCATCTATCTTTACTTTAAACATGATCTTTCAAAGGTCTTCTAGTTTCATATGTAGGCCTGAAAGCCTCGATTGTGCTTTGACACTTTTATTCAGAAGCTTTGTAATTTTTTTGACTTTGAAGTTTACACACATTTATGATAAAAATGTGAAACAGTACAGAAATCAAAGTAAAAATAATATTCCAAATCATATTTCTCCAAATCATTTGTATTTTTTACCTGACAATTGCCTGTAGGTATATTTGTTTCTGGGCTGCTGTGTATACTTTTTTTTTTTAACTATTGGTGATGCTCTTTCCCTGGTAAACTAAAGTCTCTCTATGCTTGACTCTACCTGTGGGCTGTTTAATTACAGAGCCCTGTAAATGAACTTTTTCTGTGTATAAATTCATGACTAATTTATATTTAAAGATATGGCTATATAGGATATAAAATGATTTTAAGCAAGTTTGTTTTAAAGACCTAAATAGTTTAATAATGGTATAATTATCTATTGCTTCTGTGTTGTCTTGTAAATGTGGAAGTCTTGTCATCACATAGCTAATGAAGGAGAGTAATTTTAAGTCTGAAGTTTTAGAACTTAAAGAAACTTTCATGTCTACATTTCTGGGTCGATCAATTCGTTGGTTTGCTACTAGTCCAAAACTTCACTCTTAAAAACTAGGCTATAACTATCCCTAAGAAGTAGAGATAACACCTTCTTTCTGCTTCTTAAGTATTGATGTTATATCAGAGTTTTTGAAAAATTAGTAAGTTGTGAAACAGTATGGATAAATGTGAAAATTTATCATGTGGTGGTCTGGTCTGGGAAAATTTCAAGGAGATATTTTATATGACCTTTTGAGAATAGTTCTATATAGGAAGAAAAGGGGAAGAAGGGGTAGAAAGATATGTGGGGAGCATATTCCTTGAAAATATAGGAACGTTTACTATTTACATATGTTTATTCATGTTTAAATTTTAGATTTTAACACCTTTCTTACTGAGAAGACTGAAATCTGATGTTGCTCTTGAAGTTCCTCCTAAACGAGAAGTAGTTGTTTATGCACCACTTGCAAAGAAACAGGAGATCTTTTATACAGCCATTGTGAACCGTACAATTGCAAACATGTTTGGATCCAGTGAGGTAGACTGTGGATTTGAAATAAACCATAACTAACAGTGGGTGTAGAAAATTTCATGGTTGATATTGGTCTTACATAGGCTCATCAACTGTTTTCATGACCTGTTGAGAATTTCTAACTGGAGGGTAAGGCATAAGGCCAGTAGCAAAAATTATCTTAGTAATTCTGTGGTCTTAACTAAAATTCCAGTGATGGTTCATATATTAGTTGCTTTATAATCATCTGGAATACTGTCTGGATATGGACTTAGAAATACATTTGAACAAGCACACATTATACTGAGGATTTGACAAGTAAGCAGTCTTCGCAAATGCACATCCCCTTTTGGGAGGTTACTGGTAGCCAAAAAGTTTAATAAAATACTCTATTTGAAAGAAATATCTTTTTTAGTCACACACCATATTATAAGACATTGAATTAGAATGTGATTATCTTATAATCAAAGACTAGGAGACCCTTACATTTTGTTCAGATGTCCAGATTTTTTACTGTTTGCCATGGACTTTTCTATTTCTTTTCAAAATATTTATGGTTAGACATTTCTGTTTTGTACAACCATTAGACTGTTACCCTGTTTCATTTTAATTAAAGGAAAATCTGCCTTTTTAGTAATTAGAAATTTAAGGTAATTGCCTATTATGAGGGATTTCATTGCAGTATTATACCAATCCAAAGAAACACCCTCTGTAATGCAGATATATATGAAGCCTTATTTCAGCTGTAAGTCATTAAGTTCGTTTATATAAGTTCAAAACAGTTTTATCCATCTTTAATTTTTTCCACTGAGATATGAATATGAGATATGAATGCATTAACTCAGATTCTAGATACTGTCATTAGTATTAAAACAAATTTCACTTGAAAACATTTGCATTTGGCTATAGTTTATGGAGCTTTGATTTTGTACCTTTGGAAATTACTAAACTTGATGTAAGAAAATTATTTTTTTCTTTTATCTTAAAACATTTTGTACATAAAAATATTATATCCCACTTTATTTATAGAACTCAAGGTATAGCTTTTTGAATAGACTCTTTTAATTTGTTCTATTTTAGGTGGGGAGGAGGTAGCTCCAGTGGTAGAGCACATGCTTAGCATGCACAAGGTCCTGGGTTCAATCCCCAGTGCCTCTTCTAAACGTAAATAAATAAACATAATTACTTCCCCACCCCAATAATAATAACAACAACAATAATAATAATAATTTGTTTTGTTTTAGAAAGAAACGGTTGAGCTAAGTGCCACCGGACGACCAAAACGGCGAACTCGAAAGTCAATAAATTACAGCGAAATAGATGATTTCCCTAATGAACTGGAAAAATTGATCAGTCAAATACAGCCAGAGGTAGACCGAGAAAGGTGTGAGTTTAAAAATAAATTTAAGTATCTTTTAAATTGTGATATTTTTCATATTTCTCATATTCATGCATTATATGTTTTGGGCAGAGCTGTTGTGGAAACAAATATCCCTATAGAATCTGAAGTTAATCTGAAACTGCAGAACATAATGATGCTCCTTCGTAAATGCTGTAATCATCCATATTTGATTGAGTACCCTATAGACCCAGTCACGCAAGAGTTTAAGGTGAATACCATTTAATAACGTACTGTTTTGATTTCTGTAACTTTTTTGTTGGGTGAAAGTGAATTATTACTTTCAGTAAATATTGTGCTCTTATATGAAGATTATAATCCTTCTAGTAGGCAGAGACAGTCTTCCCCCAAATTCAGAGAACTTTATGAGTGTTAGAATGAAGAGTGTTTTATACATATAAGCTTACTAACATTTTTATTTATATATTTTATGTGAACAGCTAAGAATCCTCCTAAACTTAGACTGATACTGGCAATTGATATCCACTCTGTGTTTTACCTGCTGAGTATTTTATAGACAGTTGTTACCTTTTCATTATTCCTTTTAGTTAGCATTCAACTTATCTAAGTCAGTCTGGCTGCCCACTGCTTAAATCACAACAAATAGCCACAGAAGAGAACAAAAAGTTGATGCTGAATTGTGGGCTTTGAGATCAAGTGAATTAAATTGCTTTCTTAGGTAGCTGAATGGAAAAATAGCATAAATACCTGTGACCCAAATCCTGTCAAGATACAGAACATTACTATCAGCTCAGAAACTTTCCTCATTTTGGGCCAGATAATTGTTTAGGAGGTGCTGTCTTGTGGACTGTAGGCCATTTATCAGCATTCCTGGCCTCTAGCCAAAAGTGCCAAAAGTATCTCCCTCCCCCAGTTGTATGGACCTAAAATGTCTCTCAGTCACTGCCAGATACAATCTAGGGGTGAAGGACAAAATTGCCCCATTTGAGAACCACGACTTAAATGCTTTTCATTCGAGTAAGGAAGATGATAATCTCTAACAAGGTAATTGATACTCACCAATCATCTTTGATACTTAACATTGCTTATAAGCTCCTATTTGAATTCTAGCAGTAATTTTCATATACATTTGGTTGAAAGTATACTCAGATATAAAGAATAAACCTCAACATTAAGTTTGAACTTAATGTTACACAGTTTTTGGGAGAGGGGTGAGGAGGATAGATCAAGTCTACACTTAAACTGAATTTTGTTTTTTGTGAAATCATTGGTTTTAAATTCTAGAGTATGTCTTTCCTTGAGAACTGTCTTTTGATAGGAAAGATCAAATAACAAGGTCAATTTAAAATTTTTTAAGTTTTGTAAGGACTTGTCAATGAAAATTAAACTGTTCACATGGTTTTTATTTTGACAAAAACAGATTATTAGTAATTGCGACTCTTTTTTTCTTTCTTTGCACACTTAAGATTGATGAAGAACTGGTAACAAATTCTGGGAAATTCTTAATTTTGGATCGAATGCTACCAGAACTAAAAACCAGAGGTCACAAGGTGTGGTACTTTTGGTTTGATTTTTTGGTTATTTAATTCTTCTTTATTAATCAATATAGATACTAAGATATATTTAAATTTCAGGTGCTGCTTTTTTCACAAATGACAAGAATGTTGGACATTTTGATGGATTATTGTCACTTTAGAAATTTCAACTTCAGCAGGCTTGATGGATCTATGTCTTATTCAGAGAGAGAGAAAAATGTAAGACTATTTATGTCATGAATACTGAATACTTTTTATAACTCCTGTCTTGATTTCTGAAGTAATGTTCAAAATAGACCTACAATTTAATAAGGTGTGAAAGACCAAAAACCCTACAGCAGAATCAAAAACAAGCATTTTGATTGTGTACTAATAAGTTATAATGTTTCTCAAATTATATATTCTAGCACAACCTTACTTAATAATATTCTCCTTAACCACCACTGTAAGATTATTGAGATAACAGGAGATTTTTTTCTCCTGACCTTTCTGGCTCTTCCCTCCACCCCAACATTTTACTATGAAAAGTCCAAATATATAATAGGCAAAAGAATTTTATAGTAACCACCTGTAAATCCACATAGTACCTGCCATTAAATTTTTACTATTCATTTTTTATCACATACCCATGATATAGCATCAGTCCATTACTGTATCCATTCAACATTCCATCCTCTTGGTGCATCTCAGAATAAATTACAGATGATACTTCTTTCTGATTATTTCATATTTGTCTTTCGGGGATACATTTTACATTTGTTGAAGGGAATAAAGTATTTATTTGCTCTATGCATATATACCTGTGACCCAAATCCTATCAAGATACAGAACATTACTATCAGCTCAGAAAGTTCCCTCATACCCCTTCCCAACTCAACTCACCTATCCTGCCTACCCCATCTCCTAGGCAACTCCCAATTTTTTTTTTTTTCGGTCACCATTATTTGAGGGAGGATGGCCTAGAATATTTTTTCTTGTAATATTTGATATTCTCTCTTAAACTTCCCTTGTGATATTTGGGGGTTTGGTTTTGTTTTTAACGAAGATCTTAAAATAGGTGGTTGGAAAATAAATGAAGTTAACATGCGCAGATGTTTTGTTAGTTAATGTAATTGTTTTATAGATCTTAATGATTGTTTTATTGAGGGTCAGTAATGTAGGCATAGAGCTTCTGTGTGACTAGCCCGAGCCTACTCAGTCTCTGGCCCCTCTGAAGGTCAAATTGATACAGTGCATCCTGGGGCCTGTAGTGTATCACCACAACAACCTGGAAAATCAGCATGATTATAATTTTTTTGTTTCATGTGAGGTGAGTGTTTGATTATTTAATCTCTTTCCACCTAATTAGCCTTTTTCAACTTCATGGCTTCTGGGATTTTCAGTATTTATTTATCCCAATTCAAAAGTTCTGTGGATGCGGAAGAACTAATACTCAGTTTGAAGAATGTTGACTTATATCCCTTGGCACACCACTGCCCTCCCCCTTCCTTTCCTGGTAAACGCATAGCTGCTTAGTATGTAGCACTATATCCACATTCCAAGGCAGGAGGAGTTTCTTTCTTAATCCCTGTGTTTTACTTCCTGTTTGTTTTTAGATGCACAACTTCAACACAGATCCAGATGTGTTTATCTTTTTAGTGAGCACACGAGCTGGTGGCCTGGGCATTAATTTGACTGCAGCAGATACTGTTATCATTTATGATAGTGATTGGGTAAGTTGGAAGTGTAGCAATGTACCAATACGTTTCTATTCTAAATTTTTAATCATTTCATTGTATACTTAGCAGTTTCATTTACCTATTTTGAAAAGGGATCTACTTTAAGATGAGAATCATTTCTTTGTCAAGTGTCCGGTGTGTAAGACTTCAACATACTTCATCATTGAAGTCACTCTAGAAATCTAAATTGAGTTAAGGCACTGTTTAAAAGATTCTGATTGGATCATGCATGTTGATTTTACCTACATGGTATGAGTTTAAATAATTTTAACCTTAAACTATTAAATGTTCTGTTTCTTTTTAACTTTAAGAATCCCCAGTCTGATCTTCAGGCCCAGGACAGATGTCATAGAATTGGTCAGACAAAGCCAGTTGTTGTATATCGTCTTGTCACAGCAAATACTATTGATCAGAAAATTGTGGAAAGAGCAGCTGCTAAAAGAAAACTGGAAAAGTTGATCATCCACAAAAGTAAATGACAGTTCGTAGTACTTTTTTTGTTTCAGTTGTATATTGTGTGTTGTGATTTTTGTTACTGTTTCTTTCTAAGAGAAATTAGTGCAGGATTTAAATAGGCAGTGGGGAATTTGGAGCTGTGAAGACTTAAACTGAGTGAGCGTGATCATGGACATAAAAGAAAAAACATTAGTGAGTGCCTAGAATGAGGAGCAGTGGGGCAGAGAAAAATACCAAGTATACTTTTAAAGTGCCCTTTCCTAAACTCTGGCATGAGGATTTGACATGTACTGACTGCTTGTTTTTCCCATTTAAAAAACCCTTTAAAAAAAGTTGTAGTTGGTTTACAGTATTAGTTTCAAGTGTACAGTATAGTATTTCACAATTTTTATAGATTATACTCCACTTAAAGTTACTGAAAAATAATGGCTATATTTCCTTGTGCTGTAAATATATCATTGCAGCTTATTTACTTTATACATAGTAATTTATATCTCTTAATCCTCCACCCCTGCCTTGCCCCTTCCCCCTTCTAATCTAAGAACACGAGGTATCTTCCCATTCCTTTGTATTATCTTCAGTTTATTTCATCAGCATTTTACAGTTTTCAGAGTATAGATCTTTCACCTCCTTGGTGAGGCTTAGCCCTAGGTATTTCATTCTTGATGCAGTATTATACAGGATTGTTTTTACTTTCACTTTCTGATAGTTCATTATTAGCTTACAGAAACAACAGATTTCTGTATATTAATCTTGTATCCTGAAACTTTGCTGAATTCATTTATTAGTTCTAACAGTGGAGACTTCATAGTTTCTTCTTGATAGTTTCATGTCATCTGCAAACAGTGACAGTTATACTTCTTACCTTCCAATTTGGATACCTTTTCTTTTTCTTACCTGATTGCTGTGTTGGGGACTTCGATACTGTGTAAAACAGAAGCAGTGAGAGTAGGCATCCTTGTCTTATTCCTGATTTTCAAGGAAAAGCTTTCAGCTTTTCACTATTGAGTGTATTACTCTTCATGTTTATCCTTGGTAAGAGATTTGCCTACCAAAATGCTTTAAGACAAACTTTCAAGCCTCTTCTTGCAAGGTCAATATATTAAATATTAAATTATTAAAATAGTGCTATAATAAAACCTATTTATTGCATTGAACCCACTATTTCAAAAAATATTTGACTCCAGTATGCCATTTTCATAGTTTAAATCATAGTATATTAAAGATAGTATTTTTAATCTAGAAAAGATTCTGAGGAATAGGGTAAGTGAAGTGGGTGAGGCAATGGCATTTTATGTTCTGTTCTGTAAGATTTGGAGTTCTACTTTTATTCATTGAAGTTCTTTTTTATCCAAAGATAAAACTACCTTAAAGTTGAAAATCACTTTATGCAAGTTTTGAAGCATAGAGAAATCATAATAATTTTGAAAAACACTACCAATTTATTTTATGCTGCTTTTCCACTTGGAAATACTTTTCTCCACTGTATCTGATTTTGAGTGAAATAATGGATTAGGTTTTAGACATCTTTAATTTGGTTTGATGGAGCATTCAGACTACAGTTGGAATTTCTGTTAGAGGAAGAAGGAACTTGATCTTAATAAGATTTTATTTTCCCAAGTTGTAGTTTCAGTAATTTGAAAGATTAATTTCAGAGAATAATTTGAAAGGAATTTTTCAAATGCTGACAATGTATTATTGAGGCATAATATACATACAGTAAAATTCCCAGCTAAGTGTACAGCTTGATTCCTGTAACAAATGTATATAGTCATGTAATTATCGTCCAGATTAAGGTAATGAATGTTTCTATCATCCAACAAAGTTTTCTCATGCATTCTTTTCAGTCATTTCCTAGGCTCCTTTACCCCTCCCTAGAAGGCAACCATCATTCTGCTTTTGTCACAGATTAGTATTTTCTTTACCTCTATACTGAGATGCATTTGTATGTATGTATGCTTTTTTGCCTCGCTACTTATTAATATTTTGAGATTCATCTATGTTGTGTTAGAAGTTTGTGATTTTTAAAAAATATGGCTGAATAGTTCATCTCTTCTGTGTCGATGTTTGAATTGTTTCCAGATTTTGGTTCTTATGAATAACCTCCTCTTGTACAAGTATTGGTAGATATATGTATTTATTTGTTCTTGGTCTTGGGGTGGGAGGGGTATATGTTTACTCATAGAAAACTGCCAGACTTTTTCCCAAGTGGACATAGCATTTTACACTCCCACCAGCAAAGTATGAGAATTGCAGTTGCTTTTCTTCCTTAACAACATTTGGTTTGTCCTTTTAAAAGTCAGGCATTCTGCTTGGTTTATAATGCATTGTATTTGGTTTTAAAAGCAATTTTGAGTATTTTTAATTTCTTGAAAATTTTTTCTAGATCATTTCAAAGGTGGTCAATCTGGATTAAATCAGTCTAAGAACTTTTTAGACCCTAAGGAATTAATGGAATTATTAAAATCTAGAGATTATGAAAGGTAAGATTTTTTTATTATTTTAAAAATACATAATTCAAAATTTTGATTCATCATTTGGATTTAAATATTTTGTTTTCTTATAGGGAAGTAAAAGGATCAAGGGAGAAAGTCATTAGCGATAAAGACCTGGAGTTGTTATTAGATCGAAGTGATCTCATTGGTAATTATCTCTTATGCTTTTACTTATTTATTATTTTTATGGGAACTTTGAAACATAAGTAGAGAGAATAGTATTGTGTACCCCTGTATAAGTCATTCAGCCATAATAGTTCACAACATTTAGCCAATTTTGCTTCATTGCCACTCTTTCTTCAGAATATTAAATTCCTGACATTTTACCCATAACCACTTTCTTAGGCTTCGTTTAATGAGAACATATTTTTAAACATAACCACTCTGTCATTATTACATTTAAGAGAGTTAGCATTAATAAACCCCAGTGTTCATAACAACACTATTTACAACAGCCAAGACATGGAAGCAACCTAAATGTCCACTGACAGGTGACTGGATAAAGAAGTTGTGCTACACACACACACACAGTGAAATACTACTCAGCCATAAAAAGAATAAAATAATGCTATTTGCAGCAACGTGGACGGACCTGGAGATTGTCATACTGAGTGTGATAAGCCAGAAAGAGAAAGAAAACTACCATATATCACTTATATGTGGAATCTTTTTTAAAAAATGACAGAAATGAACTTATTTACAAAACAGAAACAGACTCTCAGACATAGAAAACAAACTTATGGTTACCACCCAGAGAAAAGGAGGTAGGAAGGGATAAATTGGGAGTTCAGGATTTGCAGATACCAACTACTATATATAAAACAGGTAACAAGGTTCTACTGTACAGCACAGGGAATTATATTCAATATCTTGTAGTAACCTATAATGAAAAAGAATATGAAAAGGAATATATGTATGACTGAAACATTCTGCTGTACACCAGAAATTGATAAAATATTGTAAACCAACTATACTTCAGTTAAAAAAAAAAAAAGAAACCTTAGTATTATCTAATACCCAATTCACATCCAGATTTCCCCAGTTCTCTCAAATCTTTTTACAGTTTGAGTTGGTATGCAGATTTCATTGTTACAGCTGTTTTCTTCTATAACACCCTCTTCTCTTTTGTTTTTCCATGCTATTGATTTCCTGGAAAAAATGGGTTATTTGTTCTATAAAAAGACTTCCATTCTGGAACTGGCTGATTCTCTCCGCCACTCCTTTCTTGTATTATCCTTTGACTTGTTCCTCTATTTACTTATTTTCTGTAAAGTGTAAATAGCTGTGAAAATAGCTCTTTCGGCTTAATTAGATCCGGGTTCCATATTTTGGGAATATCAGCGCTTTGTTCTTACATTTTAAATCATACCAGGAGATGCATCATGTCTGGGTTTCTTATTTTCAGTTAAAGTTGATCAGCTGATTCAGGCTGATCTTAATTTATTAAGTTTCCTGTCTGTCTTTTATTTAACTTGATGGTTTTAGCGTTCATTTTGATTATGGTTTTGAACCATTACGTTTTTGAGCATTGCAAAGTGGTGATTTTTCTTCTGTCATTTCTTTATTAGCTTTAATCAGTCTATTATAATTCTCCCATCTCAACTCTTTGGTTACTCGGAGATACAGTCTATACAGATGAGGCAGGATAAATTGCTTCTTCTGTGTATTAGTTGTAAGAATAATGAGTTGATGCTTATAGTGGTGAATTAATTTGAATACAAATAAAATAAATACTTAAAACTCATCATTTCCTAATTTTATAACATATTATGGGTATCTACGCTCTTGATTATTTATGTGTCTTGTATCTATAGGGTGGAAATAAATAATGGTGTGCTTCTGTGCATTTTTTTCCAACTACATTCAGCAGTGTTATGTTGGTGACTTGGTATTGGTGATGGTAGGAATCCTTAATACCATGGGAATAGGGAAAAAAACTGTAAACTAGGGCCCTTTTTGAGGGGCAGGGTGCCGATTGTTAGGCTACCAGCACACTATTGGGTAATGTCATGATGTCTTCAACTTAGTTAAATAGCTCTTTTAAAATTGTGTTCTCTGTCTTATCATTGAATTGAAAAAAATTCTTTATATGTTCTAGATACAAATCCTTTATCAATACGTGGTTTGCAAATATTTTCTCCCAGTCTGTGGCTTATCTTCGCACTTTCTTAATTAGTGTCTTTTAAAGAGCAAAAGAAAAGAGTTTGATGAAGTTCCATTTATCTTTTTGTTATTACTTATGATCTTGGTGTCATATCTAAGTAATCTTTGCTTAACAAGGTTGTGATGTTTAAGTGTTTTTATAGTCTTATATTTGAGTTAATTTTTGTGTAGGGTATGAGGTAAAGGTTTATTCATTTTTTTGCATGTTGTCCGAAATTTATTGAAAAGATTGTTCTTTCCCTTATGAACTGCCTTGGTACCTTTGTTTAAAATCAGCTGATCATAAATATAAGGGTTTACTTTGTATTCTTGAGTTCTGTCCTGTTCCTGTTGGCCGTTTGTTACTCCTATGCCAGTACCACACTGCTTTGATTATTGTAGCTTTATGGTTGAGTTTTGAAATTGTGAGGAGTGACGACTCCAATTTTGTTCTTTTTCAAGTTGGCTTTAGCTGTTCTGGGTTTTAATTTTCATATAGTTCAGGAAAAAATAAAAGATGAAGATAAAGCATTATCTCCAAATTTTAAATAAATTATCAAATAAAAATCAGCACTGTAGAAGTTACGGAAGGATGGTGTAACATCTGAAAATACTAATTCACATTAACTGAATAAAGGAGAACTAGATACTGAAAATCCACTTGATAATCACCCTTATAATTCTTAAATTTGACATAGAGAATGTTCTTAACCTGACAGTACATTCATTTAGTAAATTACTACTAAAATCAAGAGCAGTTGAGGGTAACAGCTCTCACTCCGTTGAACAGTGTACAACACAATACAATGTACAAGGAGGGCCTAACTAATGCTGTAAGACAGCAAAAATAATAATTAGTTTCATTATTACTGCTTTTGCAGGTAGTATAACTGTCTCCATTGAAAGTCAAAGGGAATCTAAAAGTTAGAATAGAATTCAAGAAATTTGCTATAACTTAGTAGAATGTGTATTAGCAATAGTTGTAAGTATTTCCCAAATTAACTTACATTGATCTTCTAATTAAAATTCCATTATGACTTCTTAAAGAAATCTGACAGGCTTTTTGAAAACTTGATATGGAATGGTAAAAGGCCAAGTGCCAAAACAACTTTGAAGAACCATAAAATATTCTGTATCAGGTATTAAGATGTCATTAAAAAGTCATAAAAATTAAGACTGTTTAATTAGCATATGATAAATTGACTAATGGTATGGCAAATCTATAAAGTCACCCAAACTTCCATGGAAAATCAATGACAGAAATGTCATTTCACACCAGAGGGGAAATTCCTATTATTCAGTATATATATAGGCATACCTAGAAGATGCTGCAGGCTTAGTTCCAGACCACTGCAATAAAGGCAGTCATAAATTTTTGGTTTTTCACTGCTTATAAAAGTTATACAGTATTCTGTAGTCTCTTTAAAATAGCATTGTCTAAAAAAGTGTACACACTTTAACTTAAAAATACTTCACTACTAAAAAATGCTAATTAACTATATTTGAGCCTTCAGCAAGTTGTAATCTTTTTTGCCAGTAGAGGTTTTGAAATATGAGAATTACCAAAATGTGACACAGACATGAAGGGAGCAAATGCTCTCGGAAAAACAGTATCAATAGACTTGCCCGTCGGGTTGCGACAAACTTCAATTTGTAAAAAATGTAATATCCACAAAGTATAATAAAACATGGTATGCTGGACAGTTTGTATCAACATACCATAAGGAATAAATTCTAGATAAATTAATCTAGGTAGTCAGAATCTAAATATTAAAAGCAGAAGTTTTAACTTAAAAAGTAGGAATATGTATGGCTTTAGGATAGGAAAAGAATTCTTAAACAAGCTACAGAACTCAAAAACTAAATGAATAAATTGATAGATTTTATTAAAGACTTCTGTAAAAGCAAACAATACCATAAACAGATAAGAGACAAACCACAAATATCTGTAGCACACAGGAAATGTCTGTCATATATAAATAAATATCAATAAGAAAACTGGACAGCCTAAAAGCAGGTGATTACCAGAAGAGAAACAGCCAGTGAACATAAAAAGATGCTTCAACTTCCCTGGAAATCAGAGAATGCAAATTAAAACCATCATGATTTCATTCCAATAGCTATCATATTGACAAAAATATAAAAGACTGCATATCAGCTATGGAAGTGCATAAAGGTAAATTTTCATGGTGTCTTGCTTCCCTGCTTTTAAACTAACCATGGTTGGACTTAAAAAAGTCTCTTGAATACATATTTCAAATTGGTGTTCTGTTTATTGCTCTGTATCTGTATATGTTGAGCAGCAGTGATTTTGATGAGCAAGCTGATGTTTGGGTTTGTTTATTTCCTGGAGGCCAGTTCTAGTTGCAATAAGAGGAGTGTACTTCTAGTTGTTAATGACTGAGGGAGAAAGCCCATATTTCTGCAGATCTTAAAATTTTGGACAGATGACTCACTTGTCATAAAAATATTCTGGACATCTCTTTTAAGATTTCTTTTTAAGTTCCTTTTTAAAAAAAGAAAAAAATACTTGTTTATATATTTTTCTCTTAGATCAAATGAATGCCTCGGGACCAGTTAAAGAGAAGATGGGGATTTTCAAGATACTAGAAAATTCTGAAGATGCCAGTCCTGAATGTTTGTTTTAAATTGGAGGGGAAGAATGTCTTCAAAGTTCTTGTTTACATCTAGTGATTTACCTGCATTGGTGTTAAAAGCCAGATTTTTCACTCTACTTTTTTGATTATATCAGTTTACACAATAACTTGTACCATTGCATACTTTTCTGAAAGAACAAAGACATATTCATAGTAAGTTTAGATTTTTCAGTTGATTTTTCAGACTTCGTAGTACTCTTGGGTACAGGCTGATGTGTTCTTAACCACTGTCAGATTTATACAGTCTTCCTGTGGAAGTTTAATGTCTTTCCCCCACCCCTCTTTTAGCAGTTACAGTTCATGGGTTTTTGGTACTTCATTTATGGAGTAGGCTTTTGATGGGGGAAAGATTGGGATTATACTCTCTTTTGTTTAAATAAGAAATGGTTTGATTTAGGGTCTATTTCTATAAAAGTTTGCCAAATAAATGTTTATTATAAGATGATCTTCAAATTATTTTTTTCAGAAAATAATGGCTCAGGTGAAATAATAGCAAAAGTCTTGACGGGCACTGCGATTCAACGTTATTATGGTGACTCAGCTTCATTCATTACTACTATACACATATGCCGTAAGATTTCAGCTACACATTGGGTTAATGTAGAGAAGGCTCTGGGAGAAATTGTAGGTTCTTGACAAAAGACCAAAAATTGGAAGTGGCCGTGTATCATGAAAAATAAGAGAAGAGACCCCAAGTATTTATAGCAGGAAGGGGTAAAAATAAGACTTAGGAATATAAGCAATCAACATCCATATTAGAGGAGCTTAAAGGCCAGAATGGGAACAGTTTAGACCCTGTGTGTACAAGATTAAGGAAGAGAAATACTGAATGATCCCTGAACCATACGTACATTTTTGTGTAAGTTGTTTATCTCATAGGAAAATGTTATTCTTGCCACCATGTATGTTCAAATGTAGATCAGATTCTCTCTGCCTTAGTGTAATGGAACCTGGGAATCAGAATAAAAACTTTTTTGAGAAAATAATCAGCAAAAGGAAAGAACAGGCTACAGCATGGGTATTTTTTTTTAAGTGGAAGTGTTCATCAGGCACACAGTCATGCTGAAGAATCAGTGACCTTGGTTGCTTGGTAGTCATACTGTTTTCCTACTCTGTTCTCTCATATTTGGCTCAAATGATTATTTCATGGGTTTATCTCTGTCCTCACATTTCTAATACTTCTCCCTCTCACCTTGCTCCCTGTCTACACTGAAAGTAAAAACGATTAGAAAAGAACTAAGAGTTGCCACCACCAGCATCTGTGCCCATCCATCCTCTTTCTCTGTTAGTATGAATGTAGTCTGTCCCAGTTAGAGCCAACAGAAATGCCTTTTTTTTTTTATAGTAAACTCCTTGAAAAGTTGTCTGTATTAACTATTGAATTGTTTCTCTTCAGTTTTTTTCCTGAACCCATTCCAATCATTTTTATCCCTGTCACTCCACTGGAACTGTTCTTACCAAGGTCCCCAGTGACCTCTGTAGCTTCACTTACTTGGCCTTTCAGCAGCATTTCATACAGTTTAATTTCCACTAAACAATTTCTTTAGTTTGCTGGATTTTTCCACAAACAGGTTTGTCTGGTTTCCCTTCCTACTTCTCTTTCTCAGTCTCCTTTGCTATTTCTTAGTCTTTGACCCCTAAACATTATGTTCAAACTAGGGCTTCAGGCTCCCTTGATGTCTTACCTTGGTGCTTTAAATACCAAGTATATATTAAATTAAATACCAACTATGTGGTGATGACTCAGATTTATATTTCCAGCCAGAATCTCTCCTGGACTCTTCCAACTGCCTACTTGACATTTTTAATTGGTTGCCTGGTAACAAACTGTCCCAAATCTGAACTTAATGAACTTGTTCTCCAGCCTCTTGAGACTGATACCACTAATGCATTTATTTTTCAGCTTCTAAAGTCTCATGTTGTCATCTCTTGTGCTCTCATGTGCTTTGTATGTGTGTGTTCTTTTGCTTGGGAGTTTAATGACTCATCCTTTTATTGTTACTTTAGTTTCCAGATTTTAGTTTAAGGAACACAGGGGAACAGATATATTCATTCCATAATATTGAAACAAATGCTCCCTGCTTCATCTTTGTAAAAAGGTTTTCTCTAACCAGAACTTGTCTTCCATCACTTCAAATTGCTGTGGGAAATAACTTCATTAACTTTATTTGCTCAGTGGGTCATTCTGTATTACTAGGCAATTCTTAATATGTTGAGAGGTATAGTGAAAGTGGTACTTGAACATTTCCAGGCAAATAAGTTTAATGGAATCTTTCACTAATATCTTAGCAATTGTATATGGTTCTTTAGTCTTAGAAGTTTGAAGTAATACTTTATGAAAAGCACTAATATTTATATTTAAAACATTAAATAAGTGCTTCTAGTTTAAATTCTATATTTCAAAGGGTATATTTTGGTTTTGAGCTTTTTAAGTTAATGCTACTTCTTATAATTCTATTTGCTGTATTAGTACATCTTCACAAACAACACTATGTTAATTAATACTTCACCATCAATTATGGTTATAAAAGTCGAGCCCAAGGAATCATATTTATGAGTAAAATTAAAGATACCTTTGGTCTATTTCTTTGGAATCATCACTTGGTGTACTATTGCTGCATTCAGAGAAGAGGTAACATCAATCTAATGAAGCTTGACATATATTTTATATCACTAATTTAGGTAAAGATTTTAACTCTAAACAGGTTTACTTAAAAATCGAAGTGACTTTTTTTAATTTTTATTTTTTGTGGAGGGAGGTGATTAGGTTTACTCACTTTTTTAGAGGGGGTACTGGGGATTGAACCCAGGACCCCATGCATGCCAAGCACACACTCCATCACTTGAACTATACCCTCCCCCCCAAAATGACTTTTAAAGTGAATTATAAATTTTAAAAAATTGGGGTGGGGTAATTAGGCTTATTTATTTATTTGATGGCAGTACTGGGGATTGAACCTAGGACTGTCATGCACGCTAGGCATGCAATTCCTACTGAGCTATACCCTCCCTCCAGTAACATTAATTTAAAATCTATCTTACTTGAAGTGTTTCTTTAAAGAGAAACAGACACAAATCACACCCAGACTTTCTAGTGACAATTTCTCCTAAAGAGGTAGAATAACCACATTGGATATAAATGTATATGGTGGTTGAATTATGAAACTCATCTAGTAATTAGGTAGATCTCTGAAACTCTCCCCAACTCCAGACAATACTACAGAGCTATAGTAATCAAAACAGCATGAAAACAGACAGGATCAATGGAACAGAACAGAGAGTCCAGAATAAACCCACAGACCTATGGTCAATAAATCTTCGACCAAGAAGGCAAGAATATACAATGGAGAAAAGACAGTCTCTTCAGTGAGTGGTGCTGGGAAAATTAGACAGCAGCATGTAAATCAATGAAGTTAAAACACTCCCTCACCATACACAAAAATTAAAATGGCTTAAAGACCTAAATACAAGACATGGTAAATCTGGAGGAAAACATAGGCAAAATATTCTCTGACATAAATCTTAGCAATGTTCTCCTAGGGCAGTCTATCAGGCAATAGAAATAAAAGCAAAAATTAACAGATGGGACCTAATTAAACATATAAGCAAGGGAAACCATAAGCAAAACAAAATGACAACCTATGGAATGGGGGAATATATTTGCAAATGATGTGACTGACAAAGGTTTAATTTCCAGAATATATAAACAACTCATACAACTTGATAATAATAAAAACCTCAACCCCAAAATGGGCAGACCTAAACAAGCAATTCTCCAATGAAGAGATACAAACACCAGAAAGACTACCATCAAAAAGTACAAATAAACGCTGGCGAGGGTGTGGAGAAAAGGACACCCTCCTAAAATATTGGTGGGAACAGAGTTTGGTGCAATCATAGAAAACAGTATGGAGATTACTCAGAAAACTAAAAATGGACTTATATGATCCAGCAATCCCACTCCTAGGTATATATCCAGAGGGAACTTTAATTCAAAAAGATACATGCACCCCAGTGTTCATAGCAGGACTATATACAGTAGCCAAGACATTGAAGCAACTTAAGTGTCCATAAACAGATGAGTGGATACAAAAGTTGTGGTATATTTATACAATGGAATATTAATCAGCCATTAAAAAAATAAAATAATCCCATTTGCAGCAACATGAATGGACCTAGAGATGGTCATTGTAAGTGAAGTTAAGCCAGAAAGAGAAAGAAAAATATCATATGATACCACTTATATGTAGAATCTAAGAAAAGGAAAAGAAGGACACTAATGAATTCATCTACAAAACAGAAACAGACTTGGAGACATAGTAAACAATCTTATGGTTACTGGGGGAAAGGGGGTGGGAAGGGATAAATTTGGGAGTTTGAGATTACAAATGTTAGCCACTATAAAAATAGATAAAAAATTTCTATATAGCACAAGGAACTATATTCAATATCTTGTAGTAACCTATAATGAAAAGAATATGAAAACGAATATATATATGTATATGCATGGCTGGGACATTGTGCTGTACACCAGAAATTGATACAATGTAACTGACCATACTTCAATTTACGAAAAAAACCAAACCAGCAACCAAAAACTTTAATGGTGAAATATGTGTGTATATATATATATATATATATATGCCATCTTTTGCCAGATTTTTACTGTTATCAATTACCTTCTGCTTTTTTTTTTCTTTTCCTACTTCGTTCTCTGTGAATCTGTCCTTAGCTCTTTTTTGCTTTAAAAGAAATTGCCTTGGAGCTTGCATAACCTGTTAACTATTTAGGCCTCCAGCTAGGTGACTGCACCCACTGTCTCCCCCAGCCCTGTGACTCTGCTTGTGATTACTGTGCCTGCAAGGATCTGACTTGGGCTGGGCTGGGCTTAGACTAAGGGCCACTGAATGGCTCCACTGGTCCCCTTGGCTGTTAATGTGTTCCTCAGCCCTTGATTTCTCACTTGACAATCAATGAAGGGAAAAAAATTTGTCAGTGACTCCAGTCTTTCTCTCCAGAGACTATAAAAATTCTGCTGCAAGCTTAGAATTATAATGTTTCAATTGAAAAGGGACTTTAGAGGTTAGCTAATTCAAAGATGTCCTGTTATTGATAATAGTAGCTTAGTGAATACAAACTTTTTTGATTGATTATGACCGTATCATTCCTTAGACAAAGTCTTCTTTGTCACAAGTAAATGGCATAAAATCACAGGAGAAGCTCCCAAATGTGCAAGCTGGAGGACAATCTCAAAACTGAGTACTGAAATTTGTACTAAAAATGGTTATATGTGGCAGTATACTAAAAGACCACAACGTGGCGTGATTTCCCTGATTAAAATGGACCTTTGGAGTTGTAAATACTAGGCAGTCGTTCTACTTTACCCAGCAAGATTTCAATTTTATTTTGCCTGTTGAAAAACAAAACAACACCACCAACTCACTAACTCCTGTATCTGTTACAGCAAGGGAAATGTATAAGTTATTTCACTACATTTTAAAGCAGAATCGACTTTTTCTCTATAAAAGTTAACAGTTTCAGAAAATTTAGTAAACAGAGAAATCATGTTCCTTGCCTTTTTTATGTACACAGTTAAACACATATTTATACTCTCAGGATCATATTGTATATAACAGTGAATTTTTCTTCTCTGTAAGAACATAAGATATACACATTTATATCTAAAAGTATTTTCTAAGAATTTATTGGGTATATACTAAATTATTTTACTCTATACATGGATCATAATTATTTTTAAATAATTGTCTGTTGTTGGCTAACTGTTGGATATATAGGGATGTCTCCTATGTAGGGCTTTGTAAGCCTCTGATTTGCTTCTTGGGGTACATTTCTGTAAGCCTGCAGTGTGAACATTTTCTAGGCTTTTGATAAATATTGTCTAAGAATGATTTGCCCATTTAAATATTTACCCATTTACCTAGCACTGTGTATGTGTATTAACTTATTCAATTAATTTTCTTAAATGGGAAGTTGTAAATATTTTTAAGTTTTTTGATGCATATTGTGTAGGAATGATTTGTATAGCTGTCTATCTATCTAATCTTATAGCTGTATCTTACCTCCCCAAAATTAAAACAGAGCTTACCCACTTTACAAGCAGTGTGTATTCATTTATTCACTCTTTTTTTTTTCATTTATTATCAATTCATTTGTGTGTGTGTATGTGTGTGCATCTTCCTGCTATGTGAATGTATTTCTCACTGGGAGTGATAGTTTAAAAAAAAAGTGTTTAAAACTGTTTTTTTAAAGGGTAAAAGTACCAAAATTCCTAGCAGAGCTCAGTTACACAATTTCCTCTCTTCAAGGACCCTAGAGAACAGGATGTTTCCCGATTCGATTTTTTTGATAAGGAAACTAAGGCCAGAGAGAAAAGCAATTTTCCCAAAGATGACAAGGCTGGAGTAATACTCAGAACCTAGATGTCTTGACTTCCTATACTTCATTCTTTCCATTCTACCTAAACAAGTGAGCAAGGTACCCACCAAGAGTGTCTCTGATTAAGTTAAAGATCAAGGCAGGAACTAGGGGAGTAAAGGAAATGAATGAAGGCAATTGGGAATATTGGGGCCCATGCAAAGTGGTGACAGCATACCTTTTCTAAAATTATTGACATTAAAATTTTTAAAAATAAGATTCTGTGGCTAGTAAGGAGTTTATAATGTTGGCCTAAGATATTTTCATGGAATAACCAAGTAGTCCCCCAC